CGTGACCTGTACTATAGTTCTTCCGTTCCGAGTGAGTCCCTGTTGTTCCCGTGATCCTGCAGTACAAATGTCCTGTCCTAGCCGCCCGACGCCCAAGTGGGTCGGTTAACTGTTATCCATGCATAACGGGTCGTAACACTGGGGACGTCGCATCCGGAATGCAGAGGACGACTTGGCCCGGCTGGCACTATCCTTCGTGCAAACAGGAGCTAGCTTAACCACGCCAGCACAGCATCTGGCTGAGTCTTACCCATGGATGTGTAAGCTTCCTCGATGGATGTATCCATTGCCCTCTGCACTGTGGGAAGATGGGCAAAGGTTACTCAAGTACTTTTACGCTCTCACTGTCGAGGGAAGTCGGTTCCCTGAAGACAGCTTTTCTAAGCGACTCATAAATGAACAGCTGGAGCTCAAGCTTTCGCCCAAAGAAATTGCAAGCCTGACTGGCAACCTGATCGGCGGCGGCGTGGACACGACCACTACAACGATCCTGGTCTTCATCTTCGCCATGTGCGCCTTCCCACGCGTTCAGCACAAGGCCCAGGAGGAGATTGACCGTGTGCTTGCTGGTGAGCCACGCCCACCAAGATGGGAAGATGAAGAGTCTCTTCCATACTGCCGTGCTCTTCTGACTGAGATCTTCCGATGGCGCTCTGCCATCGCGCTCGGCGGTCCGCCACATGCACCCACCCAGGACGATATATACAACGGCATGCTGATTCCTGCCGGTACCACCATCATCGGCAACCTGTGGGCGATACACCGCAACCCACGCGATTACCCAAACCCAGATGAAGTGAGGCCTGAGAGGTTTCTAGATGAGGCTCAGAGGCGGCCGAACCCTAGCAAGAGGGGCATCTTCACCTTTGGCTGGGGGAGGCGCGTTTGTAGTGGACAGCCGCTTGCTGAGCAAGGCGTATGGTTCACTATGGTGGAGCTGCTTTGGGCATTCCGGATGCGATCCGTTGACGACCAGGTACGTAACATACTAGCTAGCTTTTCTCCGTCATGGCTACGGTTCTTCTCCCGCTCGAACAAGGAGTCAGCGTTTGATGCTCATGATTCATCTAGGGAAACGACAAAAAGTTAGACATATTTGCGTTTAACAATAGCCCAGCGCCTCGCCCGCTGCCCTTCAACGTTGAGTTCACCCCTCGTTCTGAGAAGATCGAGGAGTTAATCAGGCAAGAAGCATCAAGGGCGGAGCTGGAGTTGAGGAAATATGATATCGCCAGCAAGGTCACTCTCGATAACAACTAGGCAGCGAATCAATGTCAGCAAAGCGCCTGAGACGAGCTTAGCATTCGTGTGACTGTAGGCATCACGTCCTGCTCATATCCAATGGGTATCATCAGTTAGGCGCGATGTGATCGTTTAGGTGGCAAAGGAAAATAGACACTCTTCGTTATTATCTAGATGCCAAGCCCCATGTACTCTTCAAGTGTTTGAAAACGTATCAGAAGATCTACCTTAACCGAGATAGAAGACCGGATCGAATGCATGCATGTTGGCAAACAGACAGAACTCCGGTGGCCCAAGCTCAATGTCTTTTGCCATCTTTTCGAAGTGGCGCTTGAGAATGGATTCCATATCCTGTTTCTGCTCGTCGTTTGGATGTCGAAGGAAATACACCATGCTAATGTGAAAAGCGTATTCGTCGTGTATTGGATGCCGAATCTTAAGCTCGTTCGCAAGCCGATCTCTTAGGGCCCTCAAGCGTTCCACTTCTGCTGGTGTAATACCGTCGAGTCGCACCGCAACCCCAACATCAAGTATATCGATTCCTTTCAACACCATTCTGTATGGCGCTGCAGCCTCGGGCCCTAGGCTGAACTTTCGAAGTTTCTTCTCAAAGTGCTCATTGCATGTTTCCTGAGTGGCATCAAGGGCGAGGTCGGAAGGCCAATAACCCGGTCTACGGACCTGATCACTGACGCCCTCGAATATTGTCATATGCAAGCTGGTAGCCGGAAGGGGCGCAATGATGGACGACGTTTTGCATGACGACAATTCTTCGACGACGGACTCTATTGAGTGATATACAGGACTCGATGGCGGGATGTGACAGATGATTGTGTTTCCCGCCCAATGTTGAAGGGTCCCATCAGAACTGAATTTGCCGGGCACACCAGCCGGGTAGCGGGGACGGTCGTTGGCTTCCATTTGGGCCATGTAGGGTAATAATTCGCGAAGATATTCGTGCACCAATCAAAGGCAATTCAAAGTTAAGAGAGTTCTCTTATTGATGAGAACCGCGTCGAACGGAAATCAAGTTCGATGTTGAGAATAGGAGGGGAGGCAAACATTTCTTTTATATTGCCATGTAATCAACGACCACGCATGTGAACGAAACGTTGCCTGGTGTGACCCTCAAACCTGCTGTCCCTTTATTTCAAGCCGTCTGGCCTATGGAAGTTTCCGAAACTTCGCGCACAAAACCTTTAGGACAAGCAGTTGACTCCAAATGTGCCAGCCTTGCATGTGCCCGTAACTTTACGCTCGCCTCCAGGCTATATTCGAGATCATGGTCAGCAAATGAACGTCTCGTTATCTATGAGTACTGATGGCACATACGTTGTCTTGGCAGGTCATGGTGCAAGCAGCGCCAATGTTATTTTGGCCGCATTCAGGCACGGTCTTACATGAGGTGGAAATCGTCTCCTGGGGAGTGGCCTGCGCTGATGCTTGGCCAATGGAAATGGCAGAAAGAGCGATGACGAAGAAGAAACGCATTTTAAGCTGATTTGTGGCTGATTATCGTTCAATGTAAATCTGATCTTAGATGTGGCGGGATTTGGCACATTGGATGAAGTGAAAGAAGAGGATTTTGTTGATTTTGTAACGAAACAAACTTAGCACAGCCTCATCATCAAGTCTACCGCATGAATCAGGAGAGTGGGTTGCCGATGGGGGCAATCTATCAATAGACTGAGTTTGCCGGCGGGAGCAATCAATTTCTTGCACTTAGATGTTGCGACGCCTACTATCGGCTAGAATTAAAGTTCAGATGACACTCGAAAGGCAAAGCATGCAGTTTTCGCTTAGCCCTACGACAATCACAACAGCATAAACCCAATGCTGGAACAGGGCGATGTTAGCGCCTGACTTGTAGATGAAACGAAAGCCCAGCCGGGGAAATCAAGATCGACTCGGCCGATTGACATGTCCTTGTGCGCGGATTCATTTTGACGAGTGACCATGTTCGAGCAAACCAATTAGACCATATGAATTGCCAAGATGATGGACTACGCGTAGAACTGTTCACAATGAAGTGGGGCGTCGAGGCGTCTGAGTTCATCAGCGTGACTCGGTCGTGTCGTGCCGGCCGTGCCGTTCACTTGTCGCAGGTGCCAATATTGGAAATAAACCCCAAGAAATAATGACCCAAATGAAAGATGCCGACAACCTGGCCTGAAGAACTCCAAGATCAACAATAGCCGTAAGCCAACGGTTATTTGGCTATCCGGGTATAGCTTGTAACTAGAGAGGTCAAGACCGAGGAGGATGGAACCAATGAACCATAAAAAAGATCAACCGAAGGATCAGGTGTGTTATGGGTCATTCCATTCCAACCTTGAATCAGGAGTGTCACCTTTAAGAGACGGCTAGGCTTCCTTATCCTGAACCTTGCACAGTTGTGTGCGAGCGTGGTCAAGGTTTCCTTGACCAGAGTTGCGGCCGCAGACGTGCAAATTGAAGCGCTGTGATCGAGGTGCTGATTCTATGGCTGGGCATCATCTTGGTGTACGCTATGCCCTGATTGTTGAATACGCTTACTTTGTTCTCTCTACCTTAGTTAAGGGTGGATTATTTGGTAATAAATGAGCTACAGTTTGTAGTTGATAGCCATGGATGGATAGCTGAGACGTGTAAAGCCTTTCGAAATGCCTGACAATTTGCCTCTTTGTTTAGCACTGTCAGAAGACTATAGGAAGGCGTGGTGAATCGGAGGACTCCAATTAAGCTACACCAGTCCTGGAACAACGGCGAAGGTCTGATTTTGCGTGCCAGTGCCTATGATCATTGGAGCAGCTTTTACTTACATCAAGCTTTCTGGTACTCCTGTTGCCGCCCCAAGTGCTGCCATCCTCACTGTTGTCTCATGCGTCTTCCTTCATGTTGAGGCTTGCGGCACTGAATTTTTGCACGAGTACTTAAGAAACGCAAAGTGCACTTCTGTGAGTCCAAGAAAGAGTTTTATTGATTTTGATTGTATATTAGACCAACACTCCAGGGTTAATCCTTCCTATCAGTCCTTCAATTTATGTCGTCTTGCCAGCCCGTTGTCTGTGACGTTTATTGAGGCTGCTTTTCTATCACCACTCCCGGAGCGATTTGTACAATTTCAAATACTTGCAGATACTTTCTGGCTCAGTCAAAACGCGTGGATCAATAGTCTTACGAACATGTTGAATCTTGCGACGTGTATACCAGCGCAAGGCAAGTTGCCATGCTTCCAAGACTTCCTCAATCTCAGAGATTCGAAACGTGGCCGCGACTGTAATCTTAATTGCGTACTTCGCAACTTCGCATCTGAAAAAGAAGCCTTGGCCTCTACCGGGGCTCCAAATCTCCAAAATCTGCAGCATACCCATGTAAGAAGCTGCGTGAGCCGCGACTTTAAGCATATCATATATCTGCGTTAAGTCGACATTTCCGTACGGTATGCGACAAGTCAGAGCCACATGTTGAAGAAGAGGTTTCGACTGAGTCTGCGAAGCCTTTTCCACAAATCCTATGAAAAATTCTGTGGCGTCTATTGCGTGAGAAATTGCCAAATGCCGCAGTGTGAAGCTGGCTCGCGCTGCCTGCTTGGCGAGCTTGTCGTTTGTTGGGGGCCACAGCCACATCATCTTGGAATAACATATGACTCCATGTAGCTCCCAGGATTGAGCTTCCCATAAGGTCACCGCGCGTACGTTGGCACCAAGATTCCGGAATAGGTTTGTATTTGCCTCCTCTCGCTCGGTCTGGAACCTTAAAGGAATGGCAAGCCACGGCTCATAGTTGATATGGCTGAGACACGGCAGCCCCTTCAGAATATCTGATAAAGCCTTTTCGGAGAGGCTTCGATAGAGCCTCTGGGTGACGAAAAGCTCGGCGATCACGTTGACTTTGGGCAGTTCGAAATATGGATCATCGCAGAAAGACAACCAATCGGTGTTAAGGAGGTTACCAAGGAGGCGTATTTTGGCGCCATAAGGCGAGTATCCATGCGGTTGTAGATTGCGAAGACGCCCGTGATATCTCGGAGGTGAGTGGTATAGGTCATCGCGAGGTGAGCTGGCACTCAGTTCAAGCGTGATTGTAGGCCTTGGAGGCTCGACGACCCATGTAGAAAGATGATGAAAGAGCGCATGGAGAGCTGCGGAAAATTTTGAATTGTTTTCGAACTTGGTATATCCGCTTTCCGCCACACTGCGGTCACCATGGGGGTATATGTTCAAGTCCACATGAAGCAAGATCTTGTGCACCAGTTTTCTTCGGTGGCCGCTGACGTTCTCACTGAACCCATCAAAATTTGACCTGGAAACAAATGGCCGTATACTCAAAGTATGCCAGAGGATGGGTTCGAAGAATTTGTGCCAATGTTTTGATACGGCAGCCCAGTTGCCTACTAAACGCTTTCTAGTAGGCGAAACTTGCTTCTCCAGCTCTTCCATGATCATGAGTAGGATATCCGGTGGAAGCGTTGGAGACATAGGATTTGACCGAGAGGCTTCCCGCCTCCAGCTCCTAGTTTCGGATCGTAATTTCATCGTGTTTGCCGTATAAGTTGACTTGTGTAAGAAAAGGAAGGATTGGTTGAAGTAGTTATGTGTGCAACTAGGTTTGGGCAGTCTCGAGCCGATTTTCTAGATCTTTTATTTTGAAAAGATTCTATCGGAGATAGGTCCTATGCGGTTTACACCTTTACGATAATCCTGTACGGCTGGTCTGGTGTTGTCAAGGTTCTCATGAAGTTGTGAGCTATGGACATCTCAACAGGTTGCCCTTCATGGTCACGTCACCGCATGGTGACCTTAGATTTGTCAAGTATTCGCCAATGGTTGCCAAGAGACAAATTGACACAGAACCTTTGAATATCGTGTTGATTGATGCGCGTACAACAAGCGGCAGACCGACGAAGAACCGATCGGAAGATCTGAGTTCTGCCACGGCCCATCCAGACTGTGCTATCCTATTTCTTTTGCATGACACAGTGCCGTAATCTTCCATAGTCTCAGCAAGGTCGTTTCCGTTGAATCGTTCGAGTTTCTGTGCATGGGCGGTTGGCCTACCAGTGACCACGCAGGTACTGGTCGATGGGCACCGCGTTGAGCAGGCCCATGAGCCAGTCCTGGTAATACAATCATTACCATTACAATCGCCCGTCACAATCTTAAGCAATATAGAAGAGGAAAATGAAGTTCGAGACTTATTCATTCACGCTGAAAACGGCAGGAAGGAAGGAATTAAGTAGCTGCTACGAACAGGCAGCAGGCTAGCCTTTCTACAATGTGTTGTCGAAAGAGGGCCTTTGCAGTATCAACGATCAAGTATTTAGGCAGCTAAACGATTGGTTAGAAGGCCTCCGTGTCAGACTTTGTTTGTAGACGGGAGCGAAGTATTTTATTCTGGTACTGTGGTTCCGTACTGCTTTGATAGACAACACTGATATTAGACTTTGTTATCTGGGCGGACACTTGGGCTGACTCCGACTTATTTTATTCATAATTCCGCTTTATTCATCTGATACTATTTCTGTTACTGTTGTTATCCTCTTCACTGTGGTTAATACCATAGTCGTCTTCGATATTTCGATTCTTATCATCATAGTACCACTACTCGCCCGGGGAGCAAAACCCAACCTTACACTAGAGGTTAGATCAAGGACTAGTCACTGAGTTGTAAACGCATACCCGGTGCGTACATCCGATGCGTAGAGTGCAAAAGGTAAACCCAAACTTCAAAATATTAGTAGTTGAGTCAAATTAGAAACATTCATGTGCTCCTGAGTTCCAAACCTCTACTGCCAGTCCGTCATTGTTACGCCAATTCGCATGGGAACACAACAGCGTCATCCCTCTAGACCTTCGTTTCCTTCTCGCTGGACACCTCAATATGCATCATATCATCCCCCTTGACATCTTGAACACTGCTCGTCTCGGTCGTCGTCTTGTACTTGCCCAACTTGATATCACGGCGCCAGAGGTACTGGCCGAGCATGAACAGCGCCCACCATGTTGCAACGAACGTCGTGTTGACGATGAAGCCCTTGCGCCACTTTGGAGCTGTGAGAACTGTTAGCAACAGAGCCTTCGTGTGCTTTCCGGTGCCGTGCTCATTGAAAACCTACCTTCGACGACAGGGAAGACGGTAATGGGGTAAAAGCTGAAGAAGATCCAGCCGCAGGTCATCTAGGTCCAATCGTCAGAATGGGTATTGTGTTGTGACTTAAGAACTACTCACCATAGCACCTGTGGTAAATGCTCTGGCCTCATTATCGTCCTTCATAACCATGTTGACCCATGGGAATAGAATCGGTGTAACACAGCTCGTGAGTCCAAGCATATAGTACACGGCAACTTCGAGGGAGGGTTTGAAGTCAGTACGCAAATTGATGATTGGATGGATGAGAGATTGAGACTCACAGTGCAATCCGAGAGGAATGTCCCAGATCAACAAGCAAAGGTTTGCAAAGAAGAGGACTGCAGCCACGACGCACATGACGCACCAAATTGGGTAGATCATGCACAGCGAAGTCGCAAGAACTCCCGCAACGATCGCAATAGCCTGTACACCAGTGGGAATTGTGTTGATCTGAGCCACGGTCCAGGTACCGTTAAGATCCGCTTCGTGCTTCAGCCAAAGGGCCATCTGACCGGAGACATAGGAGGTGCATTGGAAGCTATGGCGTGTTAGCAAAGTCAGCTTCAGTAACGCGAGGTAATGGAGACTCACAAAACGTAGGTGAGGACAGCAACATAAAAGTGCCAGTGGGTGAAAACCCGCTTAAGCATCCTCTTTCCGATTTTCTTGCTCTCCTTCACACCATCATCCCTCATCCGCGCTTGCGCAAGCTTCTGCTCGGCCTCCGTAAGCCACCAAACCTTGGGGCTAGTAGGCAGACCGGGGAAGAGGAAGTATCCCGCGATCGAGATTGGCAGACTGATGACACCGTCGATGATGAACAACCATCTCCAGCCAGACATGCCGTGGACGCCGCTCAGGTTGTTGTACGCGGCGGCCTGGAGGTATCCTCCGAACATGGCGCCGACGTTCGAGCTCACGTACCAAACTCCAGCACGCTTGAAAAGCTCGTCACCTCGATACCAGGAGGTGAGGAGGTATATTGCGCCGGTGGCGGCGGGTGTCTCGAGAACGCCGAGGAGGAAGCGGATGCCATAAATGTCGTATTCGTTGCGCAGGCGACACTGGACGAAAGTGACGATTGACCACAGGCACTCCATGGTTGGGAGATAGTAGCGTGTGATGTGCGGGCGGGAGATGATCATCATTGAGGGGATCTCGAAAACTAGATAGCCGATGTTATAGAAGGTGCCGAAGAGGGAGTATCTGTGGCACATGTGAGTTTCCTTCGCGAGAGATTGCTATCTCAGGCTTACTGATTTCCTTTCAAAGCGAGCTCTTCTTTCATGCCTGAGACATATGCGTGGTTGATGTTGGCCGAGTCAAGCCACTTCAAGAAGACTTTCCGGTATCAGTTCCACTTCTCGAAATGTGAACATTGCAAGAAAACTTACACATCAAGCAACAGAGACTGAGCAGTACACTGTCCAACTGTTAAACCGTTAGAGATATCGAAGCTGCCAGAGGCTTCAACACCCTACCTTGCGGAGCAACCGCTTCTCTTCTTTGGAGTAGTGGCTGGGATACCAATCGAAGATGTACAGCCAGGCCACCCAGAGAGATCGTGTCTGCGGTTTGGCGGTGGAAGAGCTCACAACGGGCTCATTGTCGTCTAGCGGTTTCGTGATGGGGACCGGATCGGCAGTCCCCGCGGTTCTGTCTAGGCTGACCCTATCCCCCATGTTGGGATCTGTCAGATGGCCGTTGTTGTGATTCGCTCAAGTTATCTTCAGGTTCAAGACCCAGGGAGGTGAGGGTTGGGAGGAGTCTTGTGAGTCTTGTTGAATGGATGTTGAGTGACATTGTGACGATGCAACGCCGTCCTTTATATCAATTAAAGCAATCCCAGCCATCACACCAGCCTTGCATCGACAGGGTCGCAATGGAGTAGTCCGTGGGCTTGTTCAGGCTAGTCAACCAACAGACAAGTCACCTCGTGCTGCATGCAGATGTTGTCTGTCCCCCTAATTCCCCCGCAAATCCCTCCTCAAAGAGAGATAGGCCTAGATGCGGGGTGTGGAGAACCGGGGAAGCAAGTCGCGAGCCACCACCAGGGCCTCCAAGACCATCCTTCGGAGGAATGTCCTCGGGGGTATGGGGCATGTTTACCCCGACTACTGCATGTAAGTCAGACGATCGACAAAACATACATCGCGAACTGATTGAACCGAGAGATCGGCCGTGATCCGACGAGAGGAATGCGAACCTTCGCTTCGACGGGCCGTACATCGTATTCGTCTCAAGCTGCGATGATTACCAATGGCGCAATGTTGAAGGGCTGAGTACTAAAGTAAAACGATGGCTCTACGATTGAACACCTCAACTTCACGTACGCATGACCTGAGAGACGAATATTCACCATCTTTACGTCATCGTTGCATCTTTCCAACATGTTCGAACCTACGGAAAGCATGGGCGCATGTGTCCACGAGAAAGCACCAACGACCTCAAGGGACTTAGACCCGCGTAGACACGACAGCCTGTCTTCTGAGCCACCAACATCACCCACACAAGAGGACCTCTCCATGGACCAAACCAGCGAGACTTCATGGTCCGAAGCTGCCGAGCCTGAGGAGCTAGGCTCCTCACAACCACACCCCACACTTGCAAGTCGCCTTCACGAGCTCTTCGAAGAAAACATTACAGCCAAGATTTGCCGCACCGCAACTAAATCTCTCGAAGACAAGCTCATATACACCTCGAACGAAGTGCGCAAGACTCCGATAGCCTTCCCCGAGATCGTTCCACAAGAGGGTCCCCACGCTGGCCAGTACGAGTTCCGCGACCCGGACTTCTGGACATGCGGCTTCTTCCCGGGGACACTGTACGCCCTATTGGAGCGCACCATCAAGTACCCGCAGACCATGCATCTTCAGAACGCAGAGTCGCAGCTTGACGTTACAAGCCTGCGCGCGCATCTGCAGAACTTATGCAACATCTGGGCTGATCCTCTGCACGGCATGGCTAGCAGAACGGATACCCACGACATTGGGTTCATTATCATGCCTGCTCTGCAGCGGGACTGGGAGCTCACAGGTAATCAGAGGAGTCTTGATTCAATTGTTCGGGCTGCTCACAGTCTTGCAACTCGATACATTCCCTCTGCGGGTGCGATTCGGAGTTGGGATTGTCTTCTTAAGAAGGATATCACGGTCACCGACATGAACACCAATCTCCTCGCTATCATCGATAGTCTCTGCAACCTGGATCTTCTCTACTACGCATCTGCACATACAGGAGATAACTCTCTGGCAGACATTGCAACTACTCACGCCCGCACGCTTCTCCGTACCCACTTCCGGCCAGAATCTGCCAGGACTTTGGCCAAGGACGGGTACAAAGGCCAGCTTTACTCAACATGCCATGTAGCCAACATCGATCCAGCAACGGGAGGTCTGAAATGGCGATGGACAGCACAAGGATACTCCAACGATTCGACCTGGAGTCGTGGGCAGGCATGGGCAATCCTAGGGTATGCTCAGACATATCTATGGACTAAGGATAGGGTATTCCTAGAGGCGGCATGTGGAGTGGCGGAGTACTTCTTGTACAGACTCGACACCGCGCCAGCTTGCGTGGATATTCCAGTCTTCAGTCACGACGATATTCTAGCTGACGGCGCAGAGAGGCGGACCAAGGGTCGCAGGGTCCCCCTCTGGGACTTCGACGCTCCTATCCAAGACCCATCGAAACCGCTTCGAGACTCTTCAGCCGGAGTGATCGCCGCAAATGGAATACTGCTGCTTTCTCAAGCCCTGAAGAGCGTTCAACAGCACTCCCTTAGCCGCAGATTCTTCGACGCGGCCATTGAAATCGTCACGGATACCATCGACCACTCACTCGCCACCGACAAGGCTCAGTTCACCAGAGGCGACATCCATAGAGGCATCACAATAGAAGACTCGGCAGCCGGAAAGTACTTTGACGGCATCCTCAAACACGGCACCGCAAACAACAACGAGAACGCGAGGCGCAGGTACGCCAACCACGGTCTTGTGTACGGGGACTACTACCTCGTGGAGTTCGGAAACAGGCTTTTGGACATGAGCATGGTCTAGACGCTGCTGTTGATAAACAAGTAGGCAGAAATAGAGATGATTACAAGTTTACCACCCGCCGCCTTCGTATTCGGTGCCGAAAATTCCGTCGTCGAAGCTGATGATGCGGTCCATGTCGACGAATTGCTGGTCGAGAAGCATTTGGGATATGTTGCTGAGTTCACCGCTTCCTACGCTGCTTCTGTGAAAGACGTTGGACTGGGTCATTGTCTCCACGCCGTTCATTTCCATCGCTGGGTGAACGACGATTCCGCCCGAGTTTGGGTTGGGATTTACGACTGGAGGGGCGAATTGCTGAGCGACCACTATGCTGTCGGTATTGGGGGCTATGCCCTGTCGTTGCTCTGCCGCCGGTAACAGATCAGGATCAATTCTTGCGGTATTCGATCTTTGATTGGACGCGTTCTGGTTTATGATGTCGTTCCGAGCTGGCTGCGGAAACACCGGCGGGTCCTTGGAGCTGGTGTGGTCGATCTCGGTGGTGTACCCTAACACATTGATGTTGTACGATGCATCCTCGCGACATCGGGAATGCATCTCGGTGAGTTTCCGAGAATATTTGCCAGCCAAGTTGTCCCTTGCCGGCTCGAGACTATGAGGACCAGCCCACCGGCCAGCCATCTCGTCGAGGATCTGGACCAGAGACCAGAACTCGGGCACCAGCTCCCCGCCAAGGTCGTATCTCCACCGAAGGAGCAACACCCTGGCAGCTACATAGATGCAAAAAGCGAACTGACTAGACACCGGCATCGTCGGCGGGGCATGCTTCAGGTAATTCTCCGCAATGATGGCGATCTCGACAGCTGCAGCTTGGCACGTGTCGATGCTCAAGATACTCGGCAAACGCGCCCGGAAAGCCCACTCCCGCGGCGGGAAAGCAATGAGCTGGTGGAGCAGAATCATGGACGTGTTGTGCGTGACGTGCGCCAGCGTGAGGTTCGGGTCCATGCGCGTCGACTGGCGGGCCATGTTGGCCTTCCACTTCTGCGGGAGCAGCATCTTCCAATGCACTAGGCGCAGGTCGAGCTCCTTGAAGCGGGTGAGCCAGCTGCTGATGTCCCGCTGGTCTCGCATGTTGACCTTCTGCTGGAGGAAGTAGCTCGTGACGCGGCTGAGAGACTCAGTTGCTTCGATGCAGTAGGCGAAGGCGCCGACGGTGGACATGTCGACGCTGGGCATCTGGGCCCCGGGAGAGGTGCCGGCCTCGGATGGAGTCTGGGTTTCTTCTTCGGTGGTGATTTGGGATGTTTGGGCGTAGTGTGAGGGGATGAAGGCGATTGGGTTTCCGATGCGCCCGGCGGCTTTGTCCCATATGCCGAAGTACGGGGTGACGACTCGGTCTTCTTTTCTCCAGAGGACGCCGTCGCATGGGAGGCGGCAGTGGACGTCGTCGGAGGTGAGGCTGGTGTTCCAACCCATGGTGACGGAGATGAGACGGTCGAGCTTGAATACGTTCCAAAAGACACGCCTTCGCTCTTCGGCTTCGGTCCAGTTATCTGGTGGCGGCAACGAGACGAAAGGTTGAGATAGGGAAAGTCTCTCCGCCTCGTCATGCTCGATTGTGAGTTGAAGGTACTCAACGGTCCGTGTAAGTGAGCCTACGAGAGACCAGGCTTGAGCCGCCTCGCCGCTTCCGATCTGCAAGGGCTAGTTAGCTATAGTCGCGAGCAGTGAGCAGAGAAATCTTACGTCATTGAAGGCGACGATGATTAGAGCCTGTAGACTTTCGACGGTGAGATGTTTCATTGCTTGGGACACGACCCAGTCTCTTGCCATCACTCGCTGTTGCGGGTTTCCAAAGGCGGTCGTGGCGGTATCCTCATCAGCAATATACCGGGAACCGGCTAAGACCATCGCGTGTAACACCACCCTCAATGCTTCGAAATCATGAGGCTCAGCAAGTCGTCGACGGAATGTAGCTTCATGTAAGATGGGGATCCATGGATGAACGTGTGAGAAGTAGGCTTGAAAGACGACCTGCAAGACCTCTTCTTCCGGGAGAGCTAGCACATTGCTACCATGTGAGGGATATGCTTCATCATGGTTCTCCAGGCGACGGCGCTTTGTCCGTGGCGGTTGGTCGTCTGCCCCTTGGAGATGTGCTCCGCTAATTGGACCAGATGCTTTGGCGTTGAACTTCTGCAGCTCTTTGGCGAAGAATGACATGATGTTGTAAGCATTCTTCTCAAGATCGGTAGTACTACCAGGGGTGTCTCGATTGGGAGACGTATCCGACCCAGACTGTCTTCGGTCCGGGGGATTCGCCCTCTGCTGGTGAACAGTTCTCTCCAAGGCATCTGAAATAATTCGTCAACCATTGAACCACGCAACTGGGACCAAGAGACTGACCCAGTCTGCGATGGAGATTCTCGATAGCCCCGGCCTTCATCCCGGGCTTAGATCTCTTGGACTCGTACACGCATTCACTTCCTACAACGAATCAGTTACCCAAAGGGGAAGCTCAGCATCCTAGGAGACCCACCAGTTTTGCGGCACTGCTGACAATTCGGGACCTCTCGGGAGCATCGCAGCTTGCGGCGCCGGCAGCAATTGCAAGCCAGGGCCGCTGCGGCCTCCGAGGCGCCGCCGGAGTCGTCATGGGCCGCGTCGGTGGCTTCGCCTTGGTGGCCGAGCTCTGCGCCGTTATCCATGACCAGACATTGGACGACTGAACCACAGATTGCGGGTTTCTGGTAGTTGGCCCCGCGTGATGTAGGGCGGAGGCTGGTGTAGTTATGGTTCCATGTCAGATTGCCCGTCTCCCGCTCGAGATGGCCCGAAAGGCCGAGGCGCCCCGCAATGCTCCCCGCATTTCCAGCGGCATGGGTCTCCGGCTCTGTGGGGTGATAGTCCGGGGAAGCGGAGAGATGGGATAAAAATGTCCAGAAATTGGTGCTTAAGATGTTTTGGAAGAGATATATCGTACGTACAAGATTGAGGCGGATGCTACACGGTTTATATGTCCAAGTTAGTCTTACACTGAGTCGTAGAACCTCCATTTAGCCGTGTAATCTGGGGTCAGCGGCTTGTTCAGCACAAGCGCTCGCAGCAGCTCGATCGGCATCGTGTTTGCTCGCAAAATCTTGTCGTGGAGCTCCTTCTCGCCCATCAATCCCTTCATCAACGCCTCCTCCCTTAGGCCGTACATTTGGAACGCTCCCAACATGTATCCTGCCTGGTAAAGTGGCGAGTATTCGCCTCCAAATGATCTCGTGACCTCGCCTTCAGCGTTGGAGCGCTCGTGTCCAACCCAGTCGACAAGCAAATCGACACACTCTTGAGGAGTCATCTCGCCCAAGTGATACTTGAGCGAGAAGATGATTCGCGCGCATCGATGCATCCGCCAGAAGAGGGTACCGATCTTGTCCTCGGGGGAGACGAAGAAGTCGCCTCTGTTCCAGAAGACGAACTCCCAATACATGGCCCAGCCTTCCACAAAGAACGGCGTTTCGAAGAGCTTCCTGTACGGGTGGTGGCGCTTCGCCATGAACAGCTGAAGCCGGTGACCCGGGATGAGCTCGTGGAAAGCTGTCGCCCGAGAGAAGTGAGGGTTGTTCCCGCGCATCACCATCATCTTCAAGTCGTGGTCCATCTCTGCAGTAGGATAAGAGACAAGAATCGAAGGTCCACCAAGGAAGAATGGCGACTCCTTCTGGCGCTCTGCTGAGATCATGAACATGCGCCACGTCTCAGCAGCAACGCTGGGGACGGTCACGAGGTCATGTTTGGTAACGAAATCCTCGCCCTCACGAGCCAGCTGTCGAACAAGCTCTGGTTGTTGACCAGGTTCGACATAACTGTTCTTGGCATACTCGAGCGCAGCCTTCCAGTTGTCGCCAAACCCCGGTGATGCGTCGTCAACTTGATCACTGTGAGAGAGGTCAGTTCCTATTCTGGAAATCATATCGGTGGTACCTACGCCGATACGGTGGCATCCGGCCCAATGGAGCCCACTTGGTCGCGTTTGATGCTCCTTGAAGCCTTCTTCATTTCCCTTTCGCACCAATCGTACTGTTCTTTGGCTAGTTTGAGGAGCTCCTCGGGCGTGTAGGGGATCATTTCCGCTTCGAGCTCGTTGAGCAGGCCTTCTCGCCCAATCGGTTCAACTGCAGCACGGATAGACCCGGGCCCAGTTTTCTCGTTCAACTTGGCTTCCAGTGCCGCCTTTATTCCCGTGAGGGCTTCATCGAAGCTCTTCTTTGGTGCCTCATTCCACCAGGGAAAGATTGGGTCGTATGGAGAGTAAAAGCCATAAAGCTCGTCCACGTGGCCGCGAAGCTGGTCAACTGTGCTAATGGCCCTGGCAAAGGTTGACTCATTTGCCTTGATGTCGTTTGATAGGATAGCCTTGGTTGTTTCCTGGACTTTTTTGGTGGTATTATTGAGAATCATGGCGGTCTGCTTACTGTCGACGGGGACCAGACGCTGACGGTCCTCGACCATGTCGATGATGGTCTGGGTGAAGGGCAAGACCGGGCGAACTTGCTCATCTCGCTGACGGTCTAATTCCAGTACACGTAGGTTGCGTCTGAGATAGTTTCGAAGGAGTAGGAAGTCCACCTTATCCTCTTGATTATAAGTATCAAAGGGCGCCTTAAACAAATCATCGAGTTCTTCAGAGTAGTACTTCTTCAATCGATGGTACCGGGTTGGTGAGAACTTGATGTTGTAAAATTTGAACAGGTTCTTCTCATCAAAGCTGACCCGTTGAATACGCTCCGTCATTGACTCTGACTCGGCCGTGGCGGCCACAGTCGGGGCGTGTTGTCCATCATTGAGATCAACCCAGTCGCCGTCAGAATGGCTGGATGGGTTCAGGCGCACGGGCAAAGTATTAGTCGCCATGGTTGATGGAGATTGCGTGACAGGTCGGAAGCCAAGAGATGCCGTTGAGTACCAAGACGTTGGATCCGGCAATGACGATGACAGATGCGGGGGAGGAGAGGTTAAAGACAAGACACGGAGGCGGGACAGGAAACCGTGGGCGTCGCGGGGTGGCTTATCGGTGCCGGGAGGGATGCCGGTATCTGGGACAGGGGCGGGAGAGGAAATAGGTGGGGCCGATAGCGACCGTAGTGGGAAGGTGCGCTGAAGCGAAGCATTTTTGGCAGCAGCGGGCCCTCTGTAACTCTCCTCGTGGTGCTTATCACGGACCATCTGGGGAAACCTTCATCGTGAACCTCCGAACTCACCGCCGATGTTCGGTCGGCTGATCCGGCCGAGATAGCCCACCTGCGTCGCGACGGCTTCATCCATCTCACATGACTTCGCGGTCATCTCGAGTCAAGTGAGGCTCAATGGTTCTAATTCTCCGGCTTCCTTAAGGTCCCCACAGGCATCTTTGACCTTCATGCTGTTCCAGCCCCTTACTGAGAGGTGGCGCGTTGATCATGGCGCCATGAGCAACGGTACACACAGGACGTGAATCTTTCATCTTGTTTCCATACGAATGAGCGCGGAATATTCTGTCCCCATCCATCGCGTTCTGGTGTCTTTGGCTTTGACAAAACATGAGATTCGAGCTGTTTGGGCTACATGACAGGTCGCCTTCTCGAATCTCGGGACCGAGAAGAGCGAGCGCTTCATTCAGGGGCAAAGCCAGGCAGCACAGCCCGAATGCCTGGTTTCCTCCTTGCTTTTTCAATGGGATTTTTGATCTATTGGCCTTACCAACACAATCAAAAACCAGCGCAATTCCAAAGTGCTCAAGCTAGCAAATACCATCATGCAAGGATCGAGATCCCAGTACGGGTACATGTCCCCCGCCTCATTCGCCCGTTCTGGACCAGTCTCGCGGCGGAATCCCGTCAGGGGGAGGCACAGTCCTCTTTTGGTCCTTCACGAAATCCGCGTTATTATTCAAGCATACCTTCAAAATACGGGACTACAAACTAGCCCCGTTTGCTGGGGCCGTCACACAAGAATTGCTTTACTCATCAAACGGATGAATCGGCGCCAAAAATACATGAATACGGGATCCGTCGGCAAACTTCTGAGACAGATCATCACAGCCACATCGTCACGAAAACCGTTGAAGTGCCCGTGAAAGGATGCTCTAAATCACCGCTAGGACGATTTCCGAGATGAGGTGGCGCGCGAATCCCGTCGCGCGACCCGCTTAGTATCGTCTAGGGGCGCCGCTGGGCCTGGAGCTAAGCCGTAAAGCAGGTGTTGATCTTGGGTTGAAATTCTTGATAAATGGATCTCTGGAACGACGAGCAGAACTTCGTTTCCCTTCTCTCTATCCATCCTTGACAGCCTGGCATCTAATACCTGAAGACTCCATCACCGGATCACTACACTCTTTTACACCCAATCAAGCATAATCACTTTCGTTAATACCATTAATCTAACAGACCCAAGTCAACCAACCTTCAAGATGTCTTTCAGATACCTTGCCACCATGGCCATCCTGGCCTCCGCCGCTCTGGCCAAGACCGACCTCACCGGCTGCACTTCCTCCGACTCCGTCGTCACGCCTTCCGGCGGCGGCACTCCCTACGCAACCCGTGTCTACTACGTCCCCGACACCGGCGAGATCTGCGCCGCTCTCGACTGCGGCGGCGGCCGCGCCCCTCCCAAGACGACCGTCCCGGGATGCCCTTCCTACGAGGGCACCGAGACCTACTCCCCGTCCTTCCTGCCCCTCAAGACCACTTCCGCCGTTGTCGCCCAGTCTACCCAGGCCACCGTCACGACCATGACCCCCAAGGGTGACTCGACTGCCTCTGCCTCCGGCTCCGGCTCCGTCACCGCGGCCGCTGACAGCAGCTCCATGAGCGGCAGCAAGTCGGACGACGTCCAGGTCCAGACCGACACCCTCTTGACCGTCACCAGCTCCATGGCGGCCACCACCGCGGCACCCGGCAACGGCACCATTGCTACGACTGGCAGGTCTGGCAGCAGGACGACTGGCACCGGCGCTGGCGCCTCCGGCTCGCCTACCAGCGTCCCCAACGGCGCTGCCGCTGGTGTGTCCAACATGTTCGGCCTCATGGCTGGTGTTGCACTCGGTGCGGCTGCGTTGCTGTAAATGGCTAGCTTGAAGGAAGTGGTTGTATTATGAGACCTTTGCGATTTCTCGCGAAGTAAAGGTCTCGTACCTTGTTCATAGACATTGTAATCGGATAATACAAAAAGACCCAGTTACCATTCTATCCCACCTGTCCGCCTGTGTAGAAGTCTGGGACTCGTTGTAGCAGTGATTCGTACTCTTGGTCGGCGTTCGTGAACTCCCATCCGCCGTCGAGCCCGTTGCTTCGCCCCTGTTCCAAGCGGAAGCCGTACACGTTTGTCCATGACCACTTGTCGATCTTTCGCGTCTTGGGGTAAATCTCGAATAAGACGAAGCAGATTGCGCTCTCTGCGGAGACGACTTCTACCCGTCCGCCTCGAGGTCTGATGTCTGTGCCGATGCCGCTCTGGTTCAGCAGCCAGAGTTGTTTGAAGACGCCGGGGACGGGGTCATCCGGCAAGACGGTGACTTCTCCTAGGGTAAAGCTCGTGAAGTTCGTGAGGTAGAAAGCTGCTAACGAGGCAGCGACTTCTTGTAGGGGAACGGAGGCGTTTCCGCCCTTTTCCGTGGCGAGGCCGTAGGCTGTGATGGCGGCGCGAGCTGCTTCTCTGATATTTACCATTGCAGAGGTTGGACTTGGTCCTGAAAGTGTAGTATTTAAGATCAATGTACACGGAGAGGATGGACACTTCATGAGAAAAAAGTAATGAATGACACAGGAACAACATACATCGGACCTCTTAGGCCCCCAGGCAACTTTAGCAAGCGAGGTCGCACAGCTCTTGCATGCAGTCTCAAAAGTCAGACTCGACGTCGTACAGTTATCGCAGAAAATGAGTGATTTAACCAAACCCACCCCGCATATCAGGATACGAAAATGCGAAGCGGTCGCTATATACCGTTCGGCAGTCCTCGCGCGCCGACCGTCCGCACGAAAAGTCCGGCCACGAGTCTCTAACGGACGTCAAACGGTCTTCGGTAGTCTGTTCAGTGTTGCTTATTACGAGCTAATTGGGCAAGCTTTTGCCAAGGAGCGCCCTGCGCGGCTAAGCTTTTCCTTTTCCGCGGGGTGGGTGGTTCGAGAACAACCAGACTGCTGGCGCTGTGTGTTCATCGCCGTTGGCTCGCGGGGAATGCATGTGAGATGAACTCAACCGTTCCAAGAGGGAGAGTTTCCCTCGGTTTGCTAGAGTTTTGCGCCTGTCGTGGGCTATCCTGTTCACCTTGGCCATGACTAAAGCATGAGGTGAGCAGAGGCAACTTGAGCTGCTTTCCGACCCAGGAGGAAAGACCCGATGTGAGACATCAACTAGCGCCACCAGCTTGTGAAGCCGCGGAATAAGGCAAGGGATTCATGGATGCAGGTCCTGATTCAGCACGGTTATATTCGATCGGCCCTTCACCGGGTTGGCACCGGCAGACCCGCACAATCGGGGCCGCAATGACGGAGGTGTTGGCGGGGAATTGACCCACAACCCCGAAGCATCCCATATCCATGACTGTTTTCTGACCCGAATTGAGATTCCCCGTGTAGAATGATGTGATTTTACGACAGGCTTGATGCTTGAAGTGGTTTGCTGATATTCTAAGATTGTTCAGCTAGAATATTGACAACATGTTGGAATGTTCGGTTTTGGTTGGTCGTTACCGCTCTTGTTCAGCGGCAACATTGGCCAAGATGGCCGCAGCAATCATTCAGGTCTTGATGGTCAGACGTTTGCGCGTTTTATTGGTCTGAAGTGATTATTTCCCAATCAGAATTGCCCGTGTTGGGGAGGCCGCAGCACCAACAGCAGAGACCAGGGCATGATCAAGCTGTTCTGTAAGCGCCGTGACAGTCGTACAGGGAGGGGATGGGCACAGCGGCAAAAGTGGAGACAGGGTCTTTTCTCGTTCACCACAGGTCATCTACGCAGCTATTTCTCCTTTACTACTCCTTTATATTTTGTAACTCTGTTACAACAAGGCAGACTTCCAAATCTTCAAAATGACTCTCATCACCGACATTCCATGCGAGTTGATCGCTGCCATACTGCGAAGCCTGGACGACCTACGGTCGCTCACCCCAGCTCTTCTCAGCTGCCGCCATATCTACTCCTCATACAAGCAGAGCCCAAACATAGCAGCGGGTATCCTACGTCAGAAAGTTACGCCGGCTCTCCTTCCGTGCGCAGTAGCTGCTTCGGAAGCCTACAGCCTGCCTCGGCCACGCGATGGCGACACGATCCAGGGTCTGCTCGACGCCCTGTATCAAGAACCATTGAGCCTAGCTAATCGGGTGACATCGTTACCGATGACTACGTTGATGGGAATGAGCCGTACGCATGACATGATCCTCGCTTTGACAACAGACTTTGCGAATGATGCATGGAACCGTCTTCGACAGGCCGATGATAGCTTGCCTCTGACCGCCTCGTTATCAACTACAGGGCAATTTCGCTTCTGCAGGTCTTTCTATCGCATCCAAATATTCTACGGGCTGTTCACGGGCAGATCGTCTAACCCAAACACGATATTTGAAGAAAGCGTCAACAGTTGGTTCTTTTCGAAACACCCATTATGGGAAAATGAGCAGCTTGGCTGTATCCACGATTTCCTTGAAGCAAGACTTGCGAAAGGTGAGATTCGGGGAGATGGACAGAGCTCTCAAAATGCGTAGAAATAACGGCTAACAGTCAAACACAGCATCGATTGACGTACTTGCTCACGACGTCAACTTCGGCGAATTTTCAGTTGACTATCTTACTGGAGGCGAAGAGAACATTTACAGGCAGATGTGGGTCAGTACACATCTTACACGCGACCGGCTTCGCCATTGGAGTACTTTGCTGACAACCAACTCTACATGAAGCTCTCTAAAGGGATTGGATTCATCCATCAACTGATTAATGAAGAATCCTACGATGGGAAGAGGGATATGCTCACAGAGCACCCGAACATCGGCGTGGCAAATTTTCCTGGAGCTTTAACCAACGTGCTTGGGGCATACCAAGGCGCCAACGCCTTCGTAGGGCGCGAAGAAGAGTTACTCTACGAAAATGTGAGCCGAGTGACCGCTGAGGATCCTGACCAGGGGTCCTTCAATTCCTGGAACGCTGCTCATGAAGGTGCACCATTATGTGCTGGCCTGATGCTCCACGAGCATGAGTTACTTCGGGATTGTGCGTATGTACTTTGGGACTGGGATCGAGTAGAGAAACACCACCTGCTCAAGGCTTTTGAGAACCTTTCGAATGCGAGACCGTCACCTGACGAGAAAGAGTATGATGAAATGAACGAGTCTTTCCACGAGAGATCACAGATTTGGCAAAAGGGTGGGTCGGGGTATTGGAGCAAAGGTGACACCAGCGGCATATCGTGGTCAGAGAAGTCTACAGCGAGGCAATTTTAGTAGCCAATGGTCATATGACTAGACAGAAAAGGTATAAAAGAGCCCGGTAAAGTCGGTTGCAAAGACTTCGTCACTTAGTGACACTTGAGCCGATCGAAAATGGTGCTCTTATGTGTCCAGGAAGCATTTGTTTGAATCCACTTCAGGCAGGTAAGGCGTATTCTTGAACAGCCAAGAGAAATAACACAAGCAGCCTGTGACCCTCCCAATGGCCTTTTGACTAAGTTGTTAGCTAGACTTTCATGAACTCCCACAGAGTTGTCCCGTGATTCCTCCTCACCACCGTCTTCCTATCCTCGTCCACGCAAAGCACCATTAAAGCTTGAGACCACATGCAGTATGGCGACAGCAGCTGGTAGCCTCCTTTCGGATGCTCTCTGGGCGTGAAGAGCTCCCAATTGTTGAGTTCTGTGGCCTTGGCACGCAGACTTTTGTTACCGCCATGTCCCATATACCTCCCCGATGACGGATGTTGGAAACCAAAGTAGCCGTTCTTCTCGACGCAAAGCCACTGGGTTATGGTAATTTTTGCGGTGTCTTCGATATCTTTTATGACAATCAGGCCGCTGTCGAGAGTGATCGCTCGGTTCGTGTGCTTCTCGATGATTCTGTAAGTGTTTCCTGGCCACGGAATCGCACCTCGGTCGCTCCAGAGACTGGCCGTAGTGTTGCACTCGGTTGGAGGAGTGAGGACCGTGGATGTTGTAGAGAAGTCATCGGAGGAACGCATTTTTTGGTTCATGATGTTCAGGACGAGAACTTATGCGTCATAAGAAAGCGACAACAAGAGCTTCAAATACTAAAGTTGATATATTAAGTCAGGGGATTTGAAATGAACCTGGAGAGATAATGCGAGAGACACGGTGGTCGGTGGGCTTGAGATGGACGTCGCGACGTGTGGCGAGCAAGGTTTGATCGATATTGTGGTAGGTAGGCTACGTGTGGATTGGGTAGCCGAGGAATGCCAATTGTCGGCCTCCTGCAGATAGTTCAGCCAGTGACGGAGAATTCCAATCTCGGGCGCCAGGTTTCCAGCTTGGAAGTTCCCCACACCTATTGTTGGCCGATCTAACTGTTGTCATGTACCTGAGTCTGTGGCAGACGCGCGTACGTAAATCTTTCTAGCACCATATCTTTCGCGATCGTCGGCCTCCCGCGTATCACATCGAGAGCCAACTTCTTCTCAGTCTATCAGAAAAGTGAAATCCCTGAGGTACCTTCGCTGCACATCTATGAGCCTGAGGCTTGTTCCATCGCCTCGCTTTCTGGCCATACGATACGGCTAGTATCACCTTTACTCCAATAGCCCCTACCTCCCTCATCCCAAATCTTTGAGCGCTCGACAAACGATTCCTTCATCTCCTTGATGTTTGCACCACATTTTGTGTAAGGCATCCTCACCGGGGCGTGTTGCCACAAACCGGAGAGTTGATACCTCCTGACCCGGTCCCAGTCCCAAAATAGGTAGGCACATTCTCGAAGCCAGTCATTGCCATCCATCAACAGACTTACGCATTTCCGCATACCCAAATTAGCAGCAATCCAAGACTCACGAGGACCCAGGTCATGATCCTTATCTTCCTCGCGAAGAACCCGCGAAAGCACCCCCTCCTTCGTAGTGATAATAGTAGCACCGTCCGCGAAGGTCATTCTCCAACTGCGCCTCCAATAATCTATGGAGAACATCTGTGGCTCAATGCCGCACAGAACTTCAGGGAAGTGTGCGTAATGAACTCCATCCGTCGTCTCGAGCATACGCTTCTTAGACTCGTAATCATGCTGCATTGTCACGTCGTCAATGTACTCGATTCCTTGAGAGAGCTGGAATATAGAGTTAGGGCACGGCGGGATGTAGATTGTAGACTGTAAAAACGGACCCAGAGCTGCCTAGACTTATTCTTCGTCCAAAGCCTTAAGTAGTCGACCTTACGTTTACCGAAACCTACGTCATGTGCGAATACTTCATGAGTATCTGAGACAGGTGTGAGCATCTATGTCCGAATTTGATGGTGGAAGATAAGGATGTGGCATACTTCTTGTAAACCTCATCTCAAGAAAATGGTATATGCAGGCCATTTGCTCGTTCTCCCATGGCGAGTGTCTTAAAAAGAACCAGTCGTACACCGTATTCCCGTTCCTTTCCATGATATTGTAAAGAACGTAGAAGATTTCAAGCCGATAAATGGCCCGGCAAAAACGGTCGTGCTCAGCAGATGACAAAGTCACCTCCTGAGGAACACCACCATCAATTTCACTTAAACGTTCCCAAGCAAACCCAGCGAAGTCGGTGGCTATTTTACTGAACTTGTCGTATCTGCGCTCAACAACATGGAGATCAAAGATCGGGACTGGTGGTAATATGATATCGACGAGGGCGGATGGCTGGTCATAGAGCATCTTGAGAAGTTTGCGGGCTGCGAGGAAGCAGTCGAACTTGAAGGCGCGGCGGCCAGGGAAGGAATCAGAACTCTCTGTGTCGAAGTCGTCAAATTCGTCAAGAGACCCCTCGATGTCGTCGAGTGGCTCCTCGAAATCTTCAAGTTCTACTTCGGATTCGGAATTGGATTCGTCGGACTCGCCAGAAGGCGCATCTGGGTCGTCATGGCGAGGCTCGATGAGTTTCAGAATCACATCGGGGAAGTCGTCGCAGAGGTAGGAGGCTTCTAAGGCCGCTACGTAGGGCAAGATAGCTGGACTGATTTTCCTTCTGAGAATTCCTGTCGCAATCTTTTCGCTCTGCTGGACGAATGCATAGAAACGGCGACAGCTGCGCAAAGCTGCAATCAGTGAGCGAACACTGTCAAGACTCCAAAGGATGGATTCTATGATCTCTGGTGGTAAGTCCGTAATGCGCGCCATCGTGGGTTGGAAACGTGAGGTTGATCAAGAAAATTGAAATTTTGGAATTTTGCACCTACGACATAGATGGGAAAAGAAAAACTGGTCGATTCAACAGGGTTGCCGAAACTTTTTGTAGATGATCACGGAGCCTTCTGCATGTGAAACCCCCGCTGTGCCCATAACCTTCGTCTCGAAGAGTGGCATTGTGGAATTTACGGACGACTCATTGGAAGCGGGAGCGTGGGTGCGCAGCACAAGGTTAAGAACGGATAGACGGGGGGGGGGCATTGCCAGGCCACCCAGCAGTTGAAAAACCCAAAACCTCAAGCGCCTCACTTACAGCTTTCAAAGGTTGTCACTGAAGCAGTCCAGTGAGGTTGCCTTTTTCGTCCGATGACGAGATGGCCCCAAAAGTAGGTGGACCCCTGGAAAAGGCGGGTCGATTTCCGCGATAAGATAAGGAAAGAGATTGAACCGCGGATTTGCCGCGCGCCCAAAAAATTGTCACTCCGAGCTTGGTCCGTGTTCGTCATTCCATCGCATTCGGCACCGCGTCAAGCTCTTTGCATCGCCAAATTCTCCACGACCACCGAACGAACCGCTTGCCTCTCCTCGACCGACGATCCGACTCCTTCGAACGGACCCTTCCCGACCAAAGACCTAACGTTAAAACACATTCGCCATGGATCACACGCGCGACCCCTGCCCTTGGGTTATCCTGAACGGTTCGCCCCTCCTCAACACCATGACCCAAATGTCGTGATGCTAACGACCAACGCAGATTTTGGTGGTGCTTTCGCCATGGGAGGTTAGTCTTCCGCCTCTTCTCGCCCGAGCCTTTCCCTCCGAAGCTTTGCGACAGCTGCGACAGCTTCCACGAGCCGGGTTCGACCGCTGCTCGCTCAGCTCTCTTGCTAGCATACTCCTACAAGGGCTCGGGACGATTTGATAAAACGTACTGACACACTTGAAAGCGATTGGTGGAACACTCTGGCATGGTAGGCCCACTGGCTTGATTTCATCTCTGCAGCGATTCTAATCCCTGCAGGTATCAAGGGCTTCCGCAACTCACCGTACGGAGAACGCCGCATTGGTGCCATCTCTGCGATTAAGATGCGCGCACCTGTTTTGGGCGGCAACTTCGGCGTATGGGGAGGTTTATTCTCGTTCGTGAAAAAACTTTGATTTTTTTCAAAATTTTGGTGCTGATCATAGGCCTCAGCACGTTCGACTGCGCCGTGAAGGGAATTAGGCAAAAAGAAGATCCATACAACGCCATCATCGCCGGATTCTTCACAGGAGGAAGTTTAGCCATCCGAGGTGGATATAAGGTTAGTCCCCCATGCGCGAGAAATGTGAACCGCCCATCGCCCGCAGCCCCAGGCCCCATTGCAAAGGCGTATCAGTTGTGACCGGTACACTCTCTACCGCGCTCTCTAGTACTCTCCCTGGCGGGCTGCTGGTCGTCTCTGCGTATGTCGCAGTCCTTGGGCCTTAGGAGGACATGTGCAGCCAGCTATTGAAAGATCTCTTGTTGCTCGGGGATGCGGTCGATGGGTGTCGTCTAAGACCTGCCGCACGACATGACTTGTCTAACACAATGAAAACAGGCTGCCAGGAATGGTGCCATCGGTCAGTACAAGCAGAAACGCTGCCAAAATACTTTTTGCTGACAAATTGGTGCACAGGATGCGCAGTTCTCTTGGCTGTCATCGAGGGTGTCGGTATCGGATTCCAGAAGATGTTTGCGGGCTCGACCAAGTTGGAGGTGAGTTTCTGCGCAAGCCAAGCAGCATCGTTACGCCCAGAATGTACTGACCTCAGGCCTCAAAGATGCCCCAGCCTCCTCCGTCAGACGGCGCCATGGTCTAAGGCTGCCCATGATGCCTCTGAATCTGTCAACGAACCGAAGCGGTGCTTCCACGCCGCCAACGAAACGACGACGCAATCGACCACTCTCTACTCTTGCAGTTCAACCTCCTTTTCCGTGGGGGATGTTGAAATCTGTCTTTACCACGACCGACGATTTCTGTTTTTTAATCGACCAAAATCACGCTATGCGGCAGGGGGAGGCGTTCCATGTAGTATAGACAAACGGCTCCAGGCAACCGGGACTGGAAACTCTGGGGAGAATCTCTTTGAGGATTTCCCGAACCAGATGAAAATTGGGGGGTGGCAATCTTGGGACAGATCGAAACGGGCTTATCTGACGTTTGGAAACGGCCTGGGTCATGATCCGAGATAGAAGGGATACGGCGGACTTCTCCCCTTTGACACGAGTATGGAATCTGTGTGAATAGGAATTGTACTGATATTCAACTCGCCATCTGTCTACTTTTGCGTTCTACTTCTCGCACTGCTTATCTTAGGTCTGTCTAAGCACATCACCACTTCTCCGCGTACAGCCGAACATCCACGCCCTCCTCGACTTCGTCATGGTAAATCTTCGCGTGCGCCAGACCCTCGTCGTCGATCCATGCCCGGTACATCCCATTACAGTTGAAGTCCTGCAGAATCTCCGACCTCACGCCGACGACACCACCCTCCTCGTCCCTTGTGACCGCAATCTCGATCCCGATGATCCCGCCCTCGCCCTCACCCGTAACCCGCCACCGGTCCCCAGCACTTCTCTGCAACTCCCCTCCGGCCCCAGCAACGAACGACACGGCCTCCTTGCCCGATAAAGGCTTAAACCTCGCCACAGCCCCAACCGTCCTCCCCGCCGCAACTCTCCAAAACGAGTCCCCATTCCCTGTCCCTGACGCCGCGATCGCTCTCGTAGTCTTCACCGCCTTCCCAAACACAGGCGTGTAGACACTCAACGAAGGCAGACAATCCGCCATCAACCCCCTCAAGCTCTCCGACAACACAACCGCAGGACCGCCCTTCCCAAACGCCCCCGTCGGATCGCCCTCCTCAACCCACTCCTCCGCCCAAAACCCAGCGCCCACACTCGGCGTATCCCCAATCCTGCCCGTCAACTTATTCGTCAGCCCGCCCGTCGACGTCGCCGCGCACACCACCCCCTCCTCGTCCAGCGCCACCGCGCCCACCGTCCCCTGCGGCAGAAACTCGCTGCTACTCCACGTCGCATTCCCCTCCTCGCCGGTGCGCTCCCGCTCCAGCGCGCGGATATGCTCGTCCCACCGCCGCTGCGTGAAGAAGTACCCCGGCTCCACGAGCTCCAGCCCGTACTTCTCCGCAAGCAGCTCCGCCGTCGGGCCGTGCAGCAGCGTGTGTCCCTGCGCGGACGGCGCGTCGATCTCAGAGGAAGAAGGGTGCGAGTCGCTCCCGCCGCCGAGGTCCGCCTCGCCGTGCTCGAGCATCGCCTTGGCGAGCAGGATCGGGTTCCTGACGTGCTGCAGGCCCGTGACGCCGACGCCGCGCTTGGCGAAGCCGCGGGTCACCATCACGCTGGCCTCGAGCTCGTTGATCCCGTCGCGTGTGAAGACGGCGCCGTGGCCCGAGTTGAAGAGCGGGTTGTTCTCGAGGAGGGTGACGGCGTGGACGGCTGTTTCCAGGGCGCTGGGCAGGGCTGCGGTTGCAGTGGTGGTGGGGGTTGTCATGTAGGCGTTTGTCTTGCTGATCTGCGATTCCTCTATTAGTTCTGACTTCAACGGTGAGGAGGAGGGATGCGTGTACGATTGTCAAGAGGGCCGCGCGGTACTCGGCGTACTGCGGCGGCGCGAGGTTGGCGGGTTTGATGTTGCCCGCGCCGCCGTGGATGATGAGGCGCGGCTTGACCTTGACGGCCGTCGGGGATTGGCGCTTGTACTCCATTTTTGAATCTGTGAGATGCGGTGAGATTCAGAAAACTTTCAATACATCAGGATGAGTTCTTTATGAGACTGGGGATTGTTGTGTGAGAGGTGCCAGCTTGAGACGACGTCGGGGGAGTTGACCGGGTGTAGTTGATAAGATAAGATAAGCCGGAAAGCCCAATCCGGGAAGCTCTCCGGTGGGAATCGGCACCGGGAGGCCGAAGTTCGGATCACGTCAATGGGGAGGTTGGAGGCGACATATTGGGGCAACGGTGCGAGTCAGGCATTTCGCAATACAGATAACGCGGTCCGTGTGCTTCTAGGAATGCTCTTTGATTTTTGGGTATCCTTTCTATGTTTTACAATCCAGAATCCTACGTTTAATCACCCCTCGAACGCCCTCTTTTTGATAAATATGTACTACAAGCGCGCAAAGACAGAACCAATGATTTCCCTGCTTTTCAGAAGGTTGATCACCCTTAATCGCTCATTGTCCAAGTGACCGCCATCGCTGGACTGGCCGCAGGGCAGATGGGCAGCCGGGGCGCCGAACTCCTTCTCGAGGAAGCGGATGGCGGGGATGGAGCCACCCTCGCGGATGTACAGCGGCTTCTTTGGCCTCTGTGCCTTCTTCTTCTCTTGCGATGTTTCTTCTCCGTTGTTGGCATCGCCGGTGTCGAAAACATCACCCCAGGCCTTTACGATGGCTTCTTCGAGTGCTTGGAAGATCTCGTTGCTGGGGTCGCCGAGCCAGGGTTCGGCCTTGTTATCGATCTTGATGGACAGCGAGTTCTTGGACTCGAGTAGTCCAAATTCAGACTCTAGATAGGTGTTCAGGGAGGCAATGACATCGTTGACTTCTTGACCAGGCACCAGACGCAAGCTGATACTTGCGCTTGCGTGGCTACTGACCAGACTGCCGTCCGGGCCAGACACCTTGTAGCGATGGATGGTCAGGTTAGGCTCTCTCCAGCGGGCCATCAGCGCCGTCTTGAGCTTATCCTCAGGACCCTTTTCAGGGTTCTGGCGCATTAGAGTCGACGCGATCTCATCGTAGCGGGTTTCTTCTTCGGCAGTCACTGGTAAGATGCTTTCGTAGAAGCCGGGGATGAGAACCTTGTTTCCAGGACCCTTGAGTTTGGATAGTGTGGACGTAAGGTCGGAAAGGGGTTCGTTGTTCATGTATGAACCGTCAACGCCGGAGTGGAGATCAGGTAGGTGAGAGTCGACGCAGACTGTGGCGTGGAGAACACCACGCAGCCCGTAGGTGAGGCAAGGAACCTCGTCGTCAAGCCAATAGCTGTTGGCTAGTAGGATATAGTCGACGTCACCGATGAGGTCCTTGTTCTTGCGGACAATCTCTCTGAAGCCGCGAGAGGCGGACTCTTCTTCGCCCTCAATGAGGAAAATAATGTCGTTGGCGAGCTTCTTTGCTTGGAGAAGATCCGTGACGGCATACAGGGCGGCCATGATAGGACCCTTGTTGTCACTGACACCTCTGCCGTGGAGATAGCCGTTGATGCCTTTCATTTGGAACGGGTCGGTTTCCCACTTGCCCTTCTTATTGTCTGCCGGCACGACATCGTAATGACCGTAGAATAATATTCTCTTCCGCTTCTCAGCTGGCTCGAGCTTGCCGTTGAATTTGGCGAGGACGACTGGGTTGTGGGGACTGCTTTCCGTGCTCAGCATCTCGACCTGACCACCCAGGCGCTTGAACAGGGAGCCAAGGAAAGTCGCTCCTTTTCGGCAGTCTTCTGCGAATTCGGGTCGCGAGGAGACGGTGCGATACGAGACGAATTCTCCCAATGATTTGACCATGACGTCGTCTGCCTCATCCACGTCTTGCTGTTGCTCGTATGATGAACAGTCGATGTTCCAAATGGCTACGTCGTTATCATTGGCGCCTGTAATGTAGTATTGCCGGTTGTTGTACGTTGTTACTGCTGATGCGAGAACTTTGCCCTCATGGGCCTTCCAGCGAGCTATGCACTGGTACTTTTGGCTGATGTTTGCGGTCTGGGTATCTTTGTATTTGCCGTAGTGAACAGTGGAGTGTTTCTACAAAAGTTAGTTGCGATCTTTGACAGGAAAAGTGTGGACATACACTTGCGGATCCCGATCTGGAAGCACTGAAGAGATACCCCCAGTTCATTTGCAGGGTCATGATGTCGCCCTTGTGGCTCTTGATCACCCTCAACTTGGACTTGGTGTCAAGGTCCCACAGCTCGATAATGCCCTGCAGTTTTCCTGCATAGAGAAACGAGCCGTCGATGGCCAAAGACATGACCGACTCCGCATCATCAGATCCAAGCGACATCAGCTCCTGGAGACCCGGCTCCCGGTCGCTCTCCTCAGCTTGCTTGTCTCCCTCGGCGCCGAGCTTCCACAGCTTAATCGTTCCGTCGCCACCTCCGGAGATCAAAACCTCTTCGTCAGGCTCCACCAGGACCGTCGGGCCTTTCGCCATCAGCATCGAGTATACGTAGCCGTAGTGCGCAAACATCTGCAGCGCTCCCGGGTGAATCTCGACGACCTTCTCCGACCTAGGAATCTGGGTCCACCGCTCGTCGGTACGACGCGGCGTCGTTGATCCTCCTGCAGCCCTCGAGTCGAAAAACCTGTGATTCCTCCGGTCGGGGTGCTGTGACGAGTCGTGAGGCACCCTGTTGTTCGGGTCGGACAAGCTGACCCATTGTATGGAGGTGTTCTGGGCGCCGACGTAGACCGTCTCGTGCTGCGCGCTGTAGGCGACGGAGAAGATGTCGCCGACGTCGTAGGTGCTGTAGATCTCGTGCAGGCGCTTCATCGTCTTCGGGCACCACACGTTGATCAGGGGGTCGCCGGCGCTCGAGAACAGCATCGAGCCGTCGGGTGTCAGGTACAGGCTCAGGACGCTGCGCTTGTGCGCCTGCACGATTCGCTCCTGGTGGAAGGTGGCCAGCGACCACACGACAATCTCGCCATCCTGCGTGCCGGCGTATATCCGCTCCTGCTCGGCGCTGACAGCAAGACAGAGGACAGAGCTGTCGTGTTTGAGGTTGTGAAAGAGTTCGGGGGCGACCGTGCCGCAGTCATCCGTGTCGCTCAGGTTCGTCGAGAGGTCGGAGGCCGCGATGGCGGAGGGCATCGTGTCTTCTGGGGCGCGGAAGGAAAGCGTGCGTCAGCAATGTGCGTGTCTCTTGAAGGCAAGTACCCAAATGCAGACTTGGGACAAGAATGGAACGAGACGAATGTGCGTTTTTCGTCTTTTCTTTGCCAATGTGGCAGCCCGTTGAGGAAATTGAGACAAGGAGGTGAAATTGGGCTGGCGTCGGCTGATGGTGTGACGCATATCTTTTGGGAGGGTCCCCTAAAATGCCAGCGCTGCGGTATCGCAACGAAAATGGCGAATGACGAAATGCGCTAGAGGGGACCTGGGACGCGCTGCGCTCTCGAGGTCTCGCCTTTCCAGGTGCACCCCTAGCGTGGATCCCCCGGAGTGAGAGACTCCAGACTTCTGGGTTGGGTGGATCGGTGCTGCAGTTCTCGGGCTCTAGCTCCCGCTGCTGCGGGGTCCACTGCTGTATTTTCAGGGGATTCCCAGGAACCAGCGTGACACTGGTCGCCGAGATGCGAAAGGCGTCTCGTGACAGTCTACATCTCTCTCTCTCTCTCTCTCTCTAGACACTCGTCTTCTGTCGCAAGGGGGGCTTCGTCGGTGGTAGTCATGAGGATTGGAGCATACGCGAACAGAACTCACCATCTTCATATTCCGAAGACTCTTCTGACTCGGGACACAGCTCAACCAGCTCGTCCTGGATCTTGCGGCACCCCTCGCAGTCGTCCCCCGGAGTGTGTCCCCCTCCTGACTCAAAAACCACAGCCATCTGCTTGCCTGTGTGACGGCTCCTTTCTGTTCTCTGCTTAATCGATAATGGGCCAACTAGATCGATGTGTGGCTCCTCTGGCTATTCTCGTCCAACTCGGTGGGGAGCTCTCTATTTGTACGGCAGCTCTGGACGCTTTGTCTCTCTCACCGCTTCATGACGCAACATTCGAGGGGATGGTATCATACGCTCGGGGAGTCAGGTCAATCAAACGATAAGACTTGAATAGAAACAAAAGGCCAGCGTTCAGGTATGATTCTGTCTAGAAACGAGATTAGGAAGACGACGGCCGGGGAGCACTTAAGGGACATCCGGAGGGCCGAGATCGGTTGCGTGATTTCACAGCCCGTATTAAATATCTGGACGCCCGCATTGGATCGTTGGGCGCCAAGGGGCCGCCGACCTGAAGCTGTCCCTCCTCTGTTCCTCCTCCATGGCCCAGTTTAGCCAGTGGAAATCCTAGCCTCTGGCTCTGGGCCGAGTGACACACGCCGGCTGAGACAGATCCGGGACGCTCGCCGACAAGAGAAGAAGAAATTCCGGCTGGAGGGCCAAGGGCCTCAGAGACCCGCGTGTCTGGGCCGGCTCACCGCAAGATAAACAGTGGTCGGTCAGGCTGCGGTGCGCCCCAATCCAGGGTGCGTATGGTGATCTTCCGAGCGATCCCCCGGCGTCTGCCCTATTGGAGGAAAACACGCGTGCTCCCGGGGATGCAAACAGAATACTGGACAGGTTGTTCAACTAGGGGATCCGAGCCGCGTAGGGGTTGCCGTAGCTGAAGCGGCCTTCCGTTTTCTTGCCGATAGGATTGCTCCCTGTTAGTGTTGGTGTTGCCGGCAAGATGTTGCCAGATATTGCTGGCAATATTGGCTCAGCTGACTTCAAGATGCAGCAAGCGATAGATGCCGGACTCTAAAAATCAAGCCATTGTGGATCATCTGTTGGCTGCACGAGTGCGTTACCTTCGGCCACTTACGATGGCTCCCGCACCCACAGGAAACCATGGCCAATGGAAGAGCTTGTTGATAACTGCCAGCTGACTTAAGGCTGACTGGCGTCAAACGGCTTCCTTCCGGATTGGAGATGATTTCAGGATCCAACTGATATCTACAGCATCAAAACTTCGTCTGCAAGGTTGTTTATATCGTTTCGCATATCGCTCAAGACTTCCCACCTACAATGGCAACGGGCCAGAGAGACATCATGCAAGACGTCTCGTCAAGCCAGAGCAGGGTCATCTTGCCTCTAAGCAAGCCCTCCGCACCAGGACCCGCGGGAAAATCTGTATTCCTCGCGGGAACGACCAGCAAGAGAGATTGGCGCAAAGATCTGATTGAATCTATCGCCCACCTCCCTATCACCATTTTCAACCCCTTCCGGCCCGACTGGGACAGCACATGGAGGGAAGACATATCGGACACGAGGTTCAAGGAGCAGGTTGAGTGGGAACTGGAGATGCAGGAGCGCGCAAACATCGTCATTGTCTACTTTGAGCCTGGGACAGAAGCCCACATTAGCTTACTCGAGTTGGGGTTGTGCGCGCGGTCTGGGAAGGCCATCGTCGCTTGTCCTGAGGGCTACAAGAAAGGGGGCAACGTCCAGGTGGTGTGCGCCAGGTTCGGTGTTCCGTTATTGGAGAGCTATGAGGACCTGCGTGATGAGTTGATTCGGAGGCTAGGGAACTAAGACAAAGCAAGCTGAGGAGAAATTTAGCAACAGAGCAGCACCTAATTAACGTACCTTGTGCAACGCCGGTGAGCTAGCTCCAGACGTACTTGTATGACTGTGAACATCGAGGCGTGAGGTACTGTGCCCACACTGTCCTCCAAAACATCGCCGGCCCGACATGGTCCCGGCTGCCACTGCCAGCCTATCCGTGCCGCACATGGGACCCCCCACTTACCCAATCCGACATGGTTCGCAATCCTCCAATCCAACCCAAGAGCTTCGAGTCAACATCGCCAATCTTGTGTACGCTCCAATTCTTAATTTTCTTTCCCCGACCTTCTTTCGTTCAAAACAAAACAATAGCATTTATACCCATACCAATTCTTTCACCATGGACGATCAGTTTGGCGGCCGCACCGACGATGACCTCTTCTTCGACGACTTCGAGCCCGTGGCAAACTCGCAACCCGTCGAGACAGTCGTAGAGACAGTCGCCGCCCCTCCTCCCCCTCCCGCCGCCGTCGCGACACCGCCCGTCGAGCCACCCAAACCCGAGCCTGCTCCCCCGAAACCCGCCGCAGCTGAGAAGCCTCCTCCGCCTCCCGCCAAAGCGCCGACCGCGCCCCGCGGCCTCGCAAACTCGCGATTCAACACAAACAAGCCCGCACCTGCCCCGCGTCCCCCCCGCCAACAGGCCCCCGCGCCCGCTCCTGCCCCAGCTCCCGCCGCAGCAGCACCCACCACCACGACAACCACCACCCCGGCCGCCGCCGCGCCTCCTCCCCAGGCCCCGACCGGCCCAGCCGCGCAGACCCAACAACAGCAGCAACAAGCAGCAGCGCCTCCCACCGCGCCCGCGAACAAATCCGCCTCGCCCGCGCCGCCCCGCGACAAGCCGCAACACGCGCCCGCCGGCCCAGGCGGCAACACCGCCCTCAACGCCGAGGCGCGCCTGCAGTCGGGCGCGAACCCGCGGACCAAGCTCACGGAGACGGAGCTGGCGGCCAAGATGGAGCAGATGCGCATCCTGAACGCGGAGAAGACGCGCAAGTTCGAGCAGGCGGAGCAGGACGAGCGCAACCACGCGGAGGCCTACGCGCGCGGCATGGAGGAGGCGCGCAAGCGCAAGAAGATCGAGGAGGAGAAGCGCAAGCGCGGCGAGGAGGAGCGCAAGCGCATGGACGACGAGAGGGCCAAGAACCGCGAGCGGAAGCTCAAGGCGATGAGCATGAAGGAGGGCGGCTGGGACGAGGGCAAGGAGGCGCTTAATGCGGAGGAGGAGAGGAGGGGCTTCCGCGGGGCGAACGGGGGGATCAGGGGGGCCAGGTCTGCGGGGCTCTCTGGCAGCAGGTTTGCTAATGATGGCGACGAGGGCGAGAGGCAGGATAGATACGGCGACCGTGATGACCGCAGAGGTGGTCGTGGCCGTGGCGGCGGCAGGGGTCGTGGACGTGGTGGACGAGGTGGTCGTGGGGGCTACGGCGATGACTTTGCTCCCAGAGACCACAGGGAACCTGCGTCGAACGGGACCCGTGACGCGAAGCCTTCTGCGCCGGAGGCGAAGGCGCCCGCTATCAACACGGAGGAGTTCCCCGCTCTTCCTGGAAAGGGCAAGACTGGAGAGACCTCGCCACCTGTGTTGTCACCTCTCGGCCGATGGGACGATGAGATGGAGGCTTTGGATGCGAAGATGAAGAGCGACGCTCAAGCCTAGGAGGCATTCAGACGCACCGAAGCCGACAAATCTGAGTCGAAACCTCTTAGCGCCGAGGAATTCCACACCCTTGCCGAAGCGTACGGGTTCAACATCAAGGGGAAGGACGACACAGCTCACGAAGCCCGAGACGCTTGAGATACCCACTGAGGATTCGTCTTGGATCATCTCCAGAGGCGACATGTATGAGCACATCAAGTTTTGTGCCTTGGAATACGCACTGAGCGGATCATGAAAACAATGACGGCATACTAAACATTGTCACGCAGCAGGAGTAGCAGCGGGTGGGTAAAATTATGAGGGCGCTTTGTAGCATTTGCCCCCGTTGCAGGTGGGCGACTATGGGCATTTGAAAATGTAGAAGCCCGTTATTAGCGTAAATACATAATTGCCCATTAATGCCGCCGGCCCCGAAGTCTCAAATGTGCCTGGGTGGTAGACCTCGTGTGTTTAAAAAGCTGTTCTGACTTGCGCCGTGCTCCAATGCCGTGGTCGAGGCCTAAAAGACTTAGTATGGACAACAATGAACTCCAGTGGTTCGTCACCCACGTTACTGTGCATTCTGATAAAAGCAATGTCGAAAACCATGTTGCGGTCCTTTTTGGTTGAGCTTCCTAGTCATCGGTTGACGATACCCGTAGGAAAGGCCCGCCAATGTCCATTTTTGACTTGGAGCCTTGCCGGTAAGCCAATGGGTGGTGCCATCGGTCGTCAGGTGATTGGGGTTGACCGTTGCAAGAGGAGGTCAGCTTTGCGAAGATGGTAACTGTTCCTCTCAGTCCCTCTCGCCATGATATAGAGTCCCCCGCCTGGCTTTCATTCTCTGCATTGTCCTCCGCGTTGCCATCTGTTTCGTCGTCTGTTTGTCCTCTGTGTTGGGTCTTCGTGATAGGTGAGGATGGTACTGAAGGATCTGACGGTGGTTGCGAGGAATCTGAGTATGGTAATGAGGCATCCAAGGATGGTACCGAGTGATCTGGGTCCTACCACCCTCCGCGGTATCCCCTGCCACCGCGCCCACGGTAGCCGCCACCGCTTCGAGGACCCCTCGGGCCACCATGGCCCATGCCGTCATCTTCTACGGGCGCCCTTCGGTGGCGCATTTCCTTGGGGAAGGCCTCGTATGTCTTGCGCATCTGGGCGTAGCCAAGATGCATTTTTCCGTAAAAGTGGTCGGCCAAGCGACGGTCGTTATCGAGCCTACTCAGGTAGGCGCCACACACGTCGCATACCTGTAGCTTCTGGTGGCCAGACGGACCTGAGGTGTCGGACAGTGCCTTCAACTCCTTCTCGCGGTCCAGCTTCGTCTGTTGTGCCTGTCGCACGCGATAGAATTCGTCGATTGAACGGGAAACTTCGCCCATCTCGCCGAGGATCTCGACTTCAAGGGTGCCGTTCTGGATCGTGGATGACAGGTCGGCAATGCTTCTCAACTGCAGACATAATTAGCATGCGCCTCCGCGCAACATGAATATCCCAGATGGGAACATACCAAAGCATTGGTCTGTCTAATTTCGTCCGGTGTCTTTTCGAGCCTGCGCTGGGCGGCGTCTATTCTCCTGTTGCAGTCGTCGATATACTTTTGCAGATCGCGCATGTAGTCGTACTCGAAACCATATTTTTGCTTGTCCTTGTCAGGCAGGCCCTCGTACTCAGCCTTCAGCGCCTCCGAGTGCTGCTTTGGGCAGGGACCCAAATCCTGCTTGGTATTTGTGAAGAGATCGTGAGGACATGTGCCGACGAGGAAAGATCTGCAGACTTTGGGGTCGGTCATGGACAGCGAGGCCGATCGCGTGGTGGCCGAGCCGCCCATGAGCTGCTCGAGCAGCTTTCTTTGTTCCGCGGCCATGGTGTTGTGTCAATTGGCGTCGTCGAGCTTTTGTCAGGGTAGCTGGGTCTAAGAATAAGAGCGATTGTCGCGAGATTATGGGGAAGAAATGCTTCAGAGCGTGACGCGCCGAATGGGAGTTTGGGGCGGAATGTGGAGAGCTAGGTGTATGGAAATTCAAGCGTAAATGGAAGCTAAGGTTACGTAAATCATTCTGCCAATGCCCACCGCCTTCCCGCATCCCTCCAGGTAGCCACCTACACCACCAGCACCATTCGCGACTCTAAGGGACCTCCTGTGCCATCCATGCGCTGGCCGAGCAGGGGAGAGCGAAAGCCAGCAGACGTCACTCTCTTGCGCGAAACTCTTTCAAAATGCGCCAGTTACTGGCGGCCCTTCTCTTCTTGTGCCTCGCTGCTTTCGGCACGGCTGCGGACTACCATGAGCAGCTGAACCTCCGGCCACTGCCCCTTTCCGCCCTGCTGGCGAGCTTCAACTTCCGGTCCAACACGTCGCTGGCTGACTTCGAGTCGCAAAACTTCCGCTACTTTCCCCGTTCGCTCGGACAGATTCTGCAATATGCCGGCACTCGCGAACTGCACTTGAGGTTTAGCTTGGGACGATGGGACGCTGAAAGCTGGGGAAGCCGGCCTTGGGATGGTCAGCGGGAGGGCGGAACAGGCGTGGAGCTGTGGGCTTGGCTGGAGGCAGAGACGGATGAGGAGTATGTTGCTTGCTGGCTTTCTGGTCCGATTCAAACTAACTTTGCTCAGAGCCGATCAGAAGTGGTTGACCCTCACCAATGCCCTCTCGGGTCTCTTCTGCGCATCTCTGAACTTCGTTGACGGAACACGAACCACGCGACCGGTCATGTCATTCCAGCCCGAGGGCGACCACCCTGAAGCCTCCATACCGAATATGCAGCTTCTGCACGGCGTCCTCCCGAAGGAGGTCGTCTGCACGGAGAACCTGACGCCTTTCTTGAAGCTGCTTCCGTGCAAGGGCAAGGCGGGCATCTCGAGCTTACTCGACGGCCACAAGTTGTTCGACTCCTCCTTCCAGAGCATGGCCATCGACATCAAGCCTGTGTGCCCCGAGGGACAGGAGTGCGTTCTACAGATCGAGCAAACAATCGACATGGTTCTGGATATCGACCGCTCCAAGCGACCCAGAGACAATCCGATTCCCCGCCCTCCTCCCGGTCACGAGCTCAAGTGCGACACATCGAAGCCTTACCACTCAGACGATACATGCTATCCTATCAGTCACAGCCTCGGCCAAGACTGGACTTTGTTCCAGTTGTTCGGGAAGACAGTCAAGGGGGTCTGCCCTTTGACTGACGAGGACGTGCCCCCGGTGTGTATTGAAGTCCCCCATTCGAGGGGAGTCTTCACGTCTGGAGGTGCTACAGAGATCCTCAATCCCAACGGAGTATCGCGGTGCTTTAAGTTCGGTCATGAATCGGAGTTGGAGATTGTTTTGCCTCTTGAGAATAAAGAAGGCCACGACGCTGCGGACGAGCTTGTTGAGCCGGCGACCCCTCTGATTTACGCCGAGCGAAGTTTCACCGGCCATGGGCAGGAGCATGGTGGCATGCAGGCCATTCTGACAAACCCCAGCAAGGACACCGAAGTGGAGTTCATTTACATGGAATCTCTGCCTTGGTTCATGAGGGTCTATCTGCATACCCTCAACGCTAGGATCGAGGGCTCAGCTGGCTCTCAGCCGTCCATCATCGAGGACATTTACTACCGTCCAGCCGTGGATCGCGCCAGGGGCACACAGCTCGAGCTGCGCATGCGCATTCCTCCCGCCTCCACAGTCTTCCTTACCTATGACTTTGAGAAGTCCATTCTGCGATACACCGAGTACCCTCCTGACGCAAACCGCGGCTTCGACATTGCCGCTGCCGTCATTACCACTCTCAGCCCGCGCACACAAAGCACGCGGACAACGACCCTGCTGCTGAACCTCCCAACACCGGATTTCAGCATGCCCTACAATGTCATCATTTTCACATCAACAGCGATCGCCCTCGCTTTCGGCGGCATGTATAATATCTTAGTCCGGAGACTTGTCGGCGCCGATGAAGGCCCGAGCCCGGTGCTCAAAGCCAAGTTAGGTCGGCTTTTGGGCAAGCTCAAGGGAAGAGTGTCGGGAAAGAAATGAAGAAAAACAAGATTTTGCGTTCATCAGTACCCTCATTTCCCAAGAAGCCGTATATCCTGGCCAAACAGCCTGCTCGTTACCGTTCCAAGTGACAAAATGAACTAATTATGATCAGTAGCCTTTCAAGGATGTCGGGAATTTAATTTGAATTGAGGGGATCAGCACGGAAACGGTCCGTTGCGTCTTAGGCACCACGTTATGTCTCGGGTATCGTCTTTTCTACAAACAGCTCACATGAGGTCCAACCTGCATCCGTTTCCGGCCTCTTCTTTGCGGAGACGCGGATAGAGACCCCACGTCGACGGGAGCCATGTCACACGGCGTGCCTCAAGTGCATGTGTGCAACACACGTCGACGTCCCTCGTTCGACTTGTTGACAACGAAATGCGGAGCGAGATCTGTGCTACCATCGGGCCTACTCGTCGACCTGCATCCAGCAGTCGCCTCGTCCTACCGCCATGGTCCTTCTTCATCACATCGACGCATCTTTACCCGTTTCTGTGAATCGTTATTTGCTTTTTGGTCAGTTTGTCGGGCAAGTGTTGCCGGAGTCGATGGCATGTTGACCTGCGGATGTGCTAGGCATGCTACGAGAATCGGGTACAGATTCGGGAGACCACCTCATCCCTTTTCAATGCATATCTTGGACGACGAGCGGGGATGAGATCAGGTACGAAGCTTCAGGTGGTTTCCCAGTCGGCTTGAAGTCTTGGGGACGATGGAGATGTCATTCCAGCCTCTTTTCGAACTGTGAGAGCTAACGGGATGCTCTCAAAAGCTGGGGCAATAACGGATGGGTATGTCTCAAGCTGCTTGGCGACTCCATTCGCACTTCTAAAAAGCAATAAACGACCCAACGGCCCCAGTCTGTCTGTTCGTAGTAACCCTGTAGATTGCTGTTTGTTTCTCTGCATGAGTTTGTTTGAACGATACGAAAATGCAGGTTCCCTCCACCCCGGAATCGCACACGAGCACCTGAGGCCGTACACCCACCTGGGCCAGAAGTCGGGAATCCCTCTTCACATATCTAGACGCGAAAGCCGGACTTTATTCTTCCTCTTGCCAGTTCAAGTCACGGATCAAGGTCATTGAGGGCTCACTTCAGTGAACATGCATCTGACAACTGTTCTGGCGGTTCTGTCCCTCGCGGGCGTGGGCTCTGCCGTTTTCGGAGTCACGGGAGAATCTCAAAAGAAGGTCCCCCTCGTCGGAGGCACGAAAAGATTCATTCTCGAGTTGTCAAAGGTGAGTGATTCTCATAGAAGAACCGTGTGTCAGATGTCATCAAGAGATGCTAACATGTGACTGGCAGGACTCTGACTTGGAGAGACTGACCTCAGAGCTCTCAACTCGGGAAGGCACGAAGCTCTATAAGACCTTTGAGAGTGAAGTCTTTACTGGCGTCAGTATCGAGACTACCGTTGAGAATGAAGAGACACTTCGCATCCTGCAGAACGTCGGCAATGTGTGGCAATCTAGACGGATCGAGATGGCCACTGTTGAGAATGGCAGGGAGTTCAGCAGTGCTGTTTCTGCCGCAAATTACTCCATCCACAACATGACTGGTGTTAACAAGCTCCATGAGGCTGGCATCTTGGGAAAGGGCGTCAAGGTCGCTGTTGTGGATGCTGGTGTTGACTATAATCATCCTGCGGTGAGGCTTTTTCCTTCGTATGAGTTACTCCTCAGGCACTGACTTGGGACACGTAGCTTGGCGGTGGCTTTGGTCCCGGATTCAAGGTCATCGGCGGTTACGATCTGATTGGTTCTTCATGTAAGAGCATCTCCATTCACGACTGACCCGGCATCGCTGACATCTGTGAAAGACTGGCCTGATCAAGGATTCGACAAGAATCCGGATGATGATCCCATGGAAGGAGGCAGTAATGGCCATGGAACCCATGTTTCTGGCATTGTTGCGGGAAAGTCTGACAGGTATGGATTGATGTAGCGATGTCTACTGCTAAAACCTTTGACTGACTCCCGCTTAGTTGGCAGGGTGTTGCCCCCGAAGCCAATATCCTATCCTACAAGGTTTTTGGCGACAACGATGTGAGTTCCCTGACGCATGGAAACCGATACACCAGTTGATATTTGATGGACAGAGTGGCCAGACGGATGAAGAAACACTTATCGACGCGTTCCTGCGAGCGCTCGCTGATGGAGTAAGTCAGGATCACATATTCCGGCACACCCCACTAATTTTCCCATAGGCAGACATCATCACCTCGTCAATTGGCGGCCGTGGAGGCTTCGCCAACAATGCGTGGGCAGAGGTTGCCTCTCGCATGGTTGACCAAGGCGTGATAGTAACCATTTCGGCTGGCAATGATGGAGAGAGTGGTCTCTTCTTCCCTGACAATGGTATGTCTGGCAAGAATGTCCTCGCTGTCGCTTCGACTGAGCCAGACAACGTCCCGGGCTTGCCGTTCGAAGTTACGTTCAACGATGGGGAGCACAAGAGCACAGCTACATGGGCCTTCTTCTCTGGCACTCTCACGCACAACTTCCCGCTTAACGGAACACTGCAGGTCATCGCTTTGACAACGGATCCGAAGAACGTTACCGTAGGATGCACCAAGTTCCCCGAGGACGTCGACTTGTCCCATGCTCTGGTGGTGGTCCCTCGCGGAGGCTGCAGCGCAGCTACGAAGCGCTACGTTCTCTTCGCTGCCGGCGCTGAGCATGTGCTCTTCTTCAACGATGAGAAGATATTTCCCCTGCCTGACAATTGGGACACTCGAGGTGCTGACGGCATCATTGGTCAAGAAGAAGGAATCGCTCTCACCAAGGCCTTGGCCGACGGCGTCACCGTCCACGCCAGGTTCTTCGAAGAGAACAAGTTGCCCCTGCTCAACATGAAGAATCCCACAGTTGTCGCCTCGTATTTCACTTCTCTGGGTGGTCTCTACGACTTGAGCATCAAGCCTGATATCGCAGCGCCTGGTAGCAACATCTTATCGACCTTGCCGCATGGTCGATTCGGGATCAAATCGGGCACGTCGATGGCGACGCCCTACGTCGCGGGCATTGCAGCGCTCTACATTGGCAAGTATGGCGGTAGATGGGTTCACGGTCCCGACTTCGCCAAGAAGCTCGCAGCTCGGATCATGTCCAGCGGCGACTCCCTTGGCTGGTCGGACGGCACCAATGTGACGGATTACGGTACATTTGCCCCCATCTTCCAGCTTGGCACTGGCTTGGTGAATGCCACCAAGGTTTTGGAGTACCAGACAGAGCTATCCTGGGCCAAGTTTGCACTCAATGACACGGCTCACTTTGAGTCGTGCCAGCGAGTCAACATTACTAACAACTGCACCGAGCCGATTACCTACAAGTTCTCTCATCAGGCTGCCGGAGCTTTTGAGGCGTTGACTGGCAGACTTGACTTCGCCTCAGGTCCCGGTTTGGGGATAGACTTTGCTCCCATCGACGTGCCCGTCAACGTCACCTTTCCTGAGGGCGAGTTCACCGTCGAGCCTGGCCAGACTAAGGAAGCAACGTGAGTCTAATCCCTCACTCCTCCAAGATTCGAGTTCTTCAATGACTGACCCAGTGACTCAGCTTTCACTTCAACCCTCCCAAGGGTCTCAATGCGTCGGCATTGCCGGTGTACAGCGGCAAGATTCTCATTAATGGCTCCAACGACGAACAGCTGTCCGTCCCATACATGGGCGTTGCGGCCGACGTCCAAAAGACCTTCAGACAGATGTTTAGCGACAATTTCCCGTACATCCTGTCGACACAGAACATGACCCGCATTGAAGATGATTCCACGTGAGTTTGCGATCATGGCCAACCTTCAGCTGCGATGCGCTAACGGCTATTTAGATTTTCGTTTGACCTGAGCATTGGACAGCAAGACTTCCCCCGGCTGTTCATCACCATGCGCTGGGGTGCTCCACTCGTCCGGTGGGATATCTTCGAGAGGGGATGGACGGAGAAGAACTGGACTTATCCACCTGTGCCCGGCGTGAATGGTTTTATCGGGATGGCTGCTCCCTGGGTAAGAAACCCCCATGCATGTTTACGTTCGTGTCGTGCTAACATTGGCGGAGAACAACGAAAACTATGTGTCTGTCTTCGACCCCGAGACTGACAACGAGCTCGACATTGTCAGAGGCCCGCTGACCGAGCTATCTCGTGACGCCTACGGCTACTCGGTGTATCGGTTCTGGTGGCTTGGCCGATTCACAAACGGGTACAAGATCAGGCCTGGTAACTACACGTGAGTAATTCTTTACTTCCCAAGTCTAAGCTCTGCCCGATATTGACAGTAAATCGATAGGATGCGCGTCGCTGCCCTGATTCCTTTTGGCGACCCGGACCGTTCTGAGCACTGGGACATCTGGAGCCATGATTTCAAGGTCGTGCTTGGCAATTGGACGACGCCTTTCTCGGCGAAGAATGCTTTGCCTCCTGTGCCGCTCCGTAGTTGAGCAAAGTAAAGCTCATCGATCTAGGACTTAGAACCTGGCGTATGCCTTCTGCGTTCGATGCCCCAATGGCGTCGTAGTAGTACTTCAAGCAAAAGTTGTAGTCTCGCGGGCCTTGTAACATGGTATGGGACTTGCTATGTTGTATCATTCTTATTTCTAAATTCTTGGCCTGCTATCTCTCTTAACAAGATCCAGCTTGTCAATTATTTGCAGTTTAGAATTCATACTTCAATCCTCGAGTTAAGGCCACCGAAGTGACTATCGCGTTACAACTGCGTACTTTCACATGAACGAATCACAAATTCTATTCTCTTGAGCCCCGCAGCATCAGTCCGGTGAGTCTACTCGCCTCAAGTATTTCCCTCACTCGGCTACCAGCTCCTAATAGAGAGCACAACGGTTTGACGGCTGCGCCTTTCCGTCAAACTGGTTCTTGTGCGTCGTCACACCCGCAAGAATACCGCGTCAGCCTCTGAAGTAGGGCTCATTCAGAGTGCAGTGAATGGTACTGTTGGCAAGGTCCGCCTGGTGTCGAAGATAGAGGGGCTAGCAAATCGATGACCAACGTGATGGAAAGAAGGAAACGGCCACTACTCTCTAATTATATAGGTCAAAGTCTATTAGGGTATTTAATAAGATATCATCAATGATCGCGCATGCGTCCCAAACAGCTGACAGTTGATGGGTGGAACCTCAATTATGACACCAATTTGGAGCAGTCAGCAAGCTTGCCCAAATCGTTTCCTAAGATGCTCATTTTCGCCATCCTACCCAAAAGGTTAGTCGACTTCTCAAAGCAAAGCCATTAGCAAACCACTCACGCAAGCTTGAAAGCGGTGTTCCAACGCGCCTGGCTCGTGCCGAAGCCTTTCCAGATGTTCTTCGTCTCGGTGGCGTTGCTGACGGCAACATCACTACCGAGGGAGGTGGGCGATGTTTCTTTAACAGTCTCCGGATAGAAGGTCGTGCTGTCCAGCTTGTCGGGGGTCGAGTCGAACGCCAGCTCCTGAAGGCTAGTTCCTGCGCTGTGCGCGCCAAGGAGAGCCACCAGATCGGTTGCCGTAAAGCCCTTCTTCTTGAAGGCCTTGATCTGAGTGGCGGCATCGGAGTCCTGTGTGGGTAGGACGCCCTCAGGGTTGGGTACGCTGGAATCTTTGCGACCCACCCAGAGGTATGTCTTGGGGCCACCGCAGGCTGCAACGGCAAGTGCTGTGGTACTTGTTAGTGATTTCGTGAAACCAATGTCTGAAGTTCTCTTGAATCTTACATGCTGCCGCTTGAATCATGTCAGCGGTGCCAACGCTGTACTCGACTGCCTTCTGGCCAAGGGTGTCACAGATTGGCTGGAACTGGATGTTCTCCTCCCTGTCCAAGTACTCGTTGGCCAGAATCAGTGAGCCATCACATGCGCCTGGGAAGCAGTCGTGGAACGAAGCTCTGATAGCTTGTCTGGCCTCGGGTGAGCACCCAGCGAAGGTAGCCTTCAGATCTGCGGCAACCTTCGTCCATACTGGCGGACATACGTGAGCATGGGAGGTTGCGATGACCAACAGAATGATCGGAAGGAGTGATGTGAAGTTGCGAAATGAACGCATTATGATGAGTATTAGGAGTTAAGGTGAAGATACAATTAAGGTGAAAGTTCTGCAAAGTTGCATCGATGACGAAGGCGGAGAAGGCAGAACTGGAACGAATGACAGGCAATGCATTACAACTCAGACTAATAGACGTACCAGACAGCTCTCTTAAAATGTCTTCCATTGTTCCTCCGCCGACTTTTCTTCCGGCTCCAGTCAACTCCATCAAACTTCAGGCGCGTCGACGTGCGCGTGCTCAGGCACGCCAACCACGTTGGCCTTTCTAGAACGGTGAGCCAAAGCGCTGGTAAAAGGGGACTAAATAAGCCGTCCGTCAACTTGAAGTTCTCATTTGACAAGACGAAGATGGCTTACCTGAAAACGGGAAGCTTACAACCTTACTCTATCTTGACGGGGCTTACCGTGCTGTGCGCTTCATTCTTAGCGCCGGTGGCTCTGGAAGCTTTACCTACAAAGGACGATCGTTCAGGCACAGCAACTTTTTGCAGTCTAGTCGCCAGCTATTCTGGTCGTCGTTGGCCTCAATCGGTCAATTAGCTTAACCTAAACTCTAACTAGGCGGGAAAGGCGCGAAGCGCCACCAACCGTTCGCTCACTGAAAGACAGCATCGCCAAATTGCCAGTCGTCAAAGCACCTGTGATCTAGCTCAGGGGAACATCGAAGTTTGCCGCGAAAGACATCTCCCCGCAACCTGGATCTAGCTCCGCCCCGCGCCAAAGACGTGACGGCGGAAACCTTCTCGAATTGTTTGCAATTGACGTCCCGATCATGTTTGTTTCTTCGGACGATCTTGCAAGATTGCCAAGAGAAGCCATGCCGCTACCGCAGTCGCCTGAAACATGGGCGCTTGCACGCGACGATAGAGGCTAGGCGCGTCTGGATCTCAATGACAGATACTCAAGTCACTATCGTGAGAATATGCCACCATCTTCACCTCACTCGCGACGTTGGAATGTGAGTATATCTACTGACTTCAGGCCCACCATCAAGCATTCACCTCCACTCGCTCCAGTCACTACTCTCTAAATCAACAACACTCGTTCTTTTCATTATCTCTCTTGTCAGTTTTTTCAAGATGGTCACTCTTTACTCTCCTTTCGGCAGCTTGCCAGTTGCGCTTCTTGCGCTTGCCGCTCTCTGCGAAGCTCAAGGTCTTGGACAATGGAGTCCTCTTATCAAGTTTCCCGTGGTCCCCGTCTCCGTTGCACTCCTCCCCGAGTCCGGAAACCTTCTTGTTTGGTCTAGTGGCTGGCCGTAAGTTGTTTCCAATTGCAATCAGCTCATCGAATACAGGTCATTAGGAGACATGCTAATGCAATTACGACACAGCAACCGATGGACAACCGCTGGCAACGGCAAGACTTACACGTCACTCTACAATGTCCAAACCGGCAATGTGAGCGACGCTGTCATTCAGGTAAATCATGTCTTGTCTACAACTCCCTCTATTTGCACATTTGACTAACCCCTGACCACAGAACACTCAGCACGACATGTTCTGCCCGGGTACTTCCTTGGATGCCGAGGGACGTATTATTGTTACTGGAGGCTCTAGCGCCGCGAAGACCAGTGTCCTTGATTTCAAGAATGGCGAGTCCTCTTCCTGGACGGCACTCTCCAACATGCAGATCTCCAGAGGCTACCAGTCCAGCTGCACTACGTAAGTATAAGTCGCCTCCGCCAATTCCAAGCATATGCTTATCGACCTCGCGACTAGTTCTGAGGGCAAGATCTTTGTCATCGGAGGCTCTTTCTCTGGAGCGGGCACTCGCAACGGAGAGATCTACGACACCGCGACCAACAAGTGGACTAAGCTTGCCGGGTGCCCAGTCAAGCCTTTGGTCATGCAGCTCGGCATGTTCCCTGACAGCCACGCTTGGTTGTGGTCATGGAAGAATGGATCCGTCCTCCAGGCCGGCCCGGCCAAGCAGATGAACTGGTACGACACCAAGGGCACTGGCGCCAACACACCTGCTGGTCTGCGTGGTGCCGACCAGGACTCTATGTGCGGCGTCTCTGTCATGTACGATGCCGTCGCCGGAAAGATTTTCACGTAAGTCATACACAATGTCTCATGACCGGTCTAAGACAACGATTCTAATCTTTCTCCCAGCTATGGCGGCGGCAAAGGCTACACTGGCTACCAGTCCACCAGCAACGCTCACATCCTCACCCTCGGTGAGCCCGGTCAACAGGTTCAAGTGCAGAAGCTTCAGAACGGTCAGTACAACCGCGGTTTCGCGAACGCCGTTGTCATGCCCGATGGCAAGATCTGGGTTGTCGGTGGCATGAAGCAGATGGCCCTGTTCTCGGATGCCACTCCTCAGCTCACCCCTGAGCTCTTCGACCCCGCGACTGGCAAGTTCACCCCCACGGCCGCTCACACCGTTCCTCGCAACTACCACTCTACCGCGCTTCTGATGGCCGACGGCACGATCTGGTCCGGCGGTGGCGGTCTCTGCGGTGCCGGCTGTGCTGCGAACAAGTTTGACGGACAGTTCTGGTCGCCGCCGTACCTCTTCGAGGCTGATGGAAAGACTCCTGCCAAGCGACCGGTCATCGAGAGTCTGTCTGACGAGACTGTCAAGGCCGGCGCAGCTCTCACCATCAACATGCAGGACGAGGGCAAGTACACCTTCAGCATGATCCGCGTCAGTGCCACCACGCACACTGTCAACACCGACCAGCGCCGCATTCCCCTTGACGGTCAAGATGGCGGTGACGGCAAGTCGTTCTCTGTCAACATGCCCAGCGACTACGGAGTTGTCATTCCCGGATACTACATGATGTTTGCCATGAACGAGGCGGGAACACCTTGCGTGGCCAAGTTCTTCAAGGTCTCCCTTTGAGGTACATCTTGATCAGAAACAAAACTGCATTATGGGATAGATCAGTAAGAGCATCTTATCTTGAGGAAGACTGGAAGCGCGTCATTATACAGCAACCGGATAGACATCTAAAGGCGCACACCTTGCTTCATTATCATTAATATTAATATCAATATACCCTTCGAATCAGAGGTTATCGATGTTCACCGCCTGCAACCAGTGCTTCTTGTTCCGCATGTCTGAGCGGTGTGCCAGCAAAAGGCGGAAGAAATGCTCTTGGGCTCCCGAACATTGCGTCGTACTGCTGAGGCCTCCCTGGTGATGCCATCGTGCCCTCGAAACACGAGAATGTCCACGCGTCGGGCGAGTTAAAATCTCACAGCCCTGGTAGTTAAAGGGATGAGGGTGGGTTGTCAGGGGTCTCGGTGGGACCGAGAAACATCGCGAGCCTCCAACGGCCCCCACAAATAAGGCATGGCCCATGGAAGATTCCGTCCAACACAAGGAGAGGGAAATAATCCTTACATCCGCGTGGGAGGTGTCTCTTCCAGTATGAAGCTTATTCCAGAGTGCTGGGCCCATTAATCCTTTGGAATGTGATATCACCCACTCGGGTGCCATCCTGAGAAAACGAGAATCTCGCTCACGATGGATGTGGATGACATCAGAAAAACCCCCAGCTGAGATGATGATACGACATCTCGAAACTGCACTGACATGGAGCTTTGAACAATGAGCATGCCCAAAATGATGATCTATCGGTGGGCTTTCACCGCTCCCGTGACTGCCGCTTTTTAACGCGATGTTTGCTCGTTGGCCCCCATCGAATTCCGTGTTAGTTCGTGGCTTTAATGATGATCTTCTGCGACCCCGGTCAACTATTGCGGACCCGCAGATCAGAATTCTCCGAGCGTCAGAGCACCAACACTTTGTCACGTCTTTTTGCAAACCATTTGATTTAGTGAAATTTCGAGTAAGCTTAGATCGGCGCGCTGATTCAATAGAGTCGATGTCAGAGCCTCACAGCTGGATGTAAAGCTTCTCGCAGCTGTGAGCGAAGATTCGAATATTCCCGAGGTGTCGGTTCGTTATCGGATCTTGGTGGCTTATTCTGACAGCTCGCTAGTGGATAACCTTTGAAACAGAAACCTTGTTTGCGGGAGTTGCGAAGGATTTCCATTTTGACGTGCAAAGCCAGTTCCTAAACGGCAAACCCGGAACAGACCCCCGGTTCGTGGGACCCAACCCAATGCAAGGGGTCTCCAAAGCCAACTGCCCTGTCAACCCGAATTGATCATGATGTGCAACCCAAAGAGGAAGTATGGAGTGCGATCCTCGTCTTCGGGAAGTTGTTGAGAGTCATAAACCCAGTCAATTGATAATTGCGTTCGGCATAGGCAAAAGCTGGGGTACGATCCCTTGACTGCCATGCCCCTTTAGCATCTTGATAGAGGATGATTCTTGCGCCAACATTGAGTCGTCCATCGTGTACTTAAGGAGACAACTCGATCTCTCCAAGCACTCCATTCTTCTCCATCATCAGCATCCTCACCCAGTCACTCCTTTCTGGTTTCCAGCGCAAGCTCGTCATTCTTTACCAACAACTTACAATCACATTCGTCCCTTAATTCTTATTCATAATCCAAAACCGCCAATATGAGATTCTCCAACATCCTCGCCATCGGCTCTATCTTCGCCACCGCCCTGGCGGCTCCCGCCATCAACAACGAGATCGAGACCTCCGTCTCTGACGTCGAGTCCAAGGTCCCCGTTGCCGGAGCCCTCAACAATGTTGAGTCCAAGGTTCCCGTCGGCTCTGCCCTGAGCACCGTCGAGTCCAAGGTCCCTGTCGGCAACATCATCGACGCCCGCGCCGAGCAGGTCATCATCACCAAGATGCAGACCACCATCGTCGAGGTTAAGAAGCACACCACCGCCATCAACTCCACCGTCTCCGGCGTCTGCGGCCCTTGCATCGCCTCCAAGAAGGAGACCATCATCAAGACCGTCAAGAGCGAGGTCACCGTCATCGTCAGCCTCATCAGCACCCTCGTCTCTGAGGTCGTCGAGCTCCTCGAGAACACCGTTGAGATCGTCGAGGAGGAGAAGCAGCAGATCATCAGCCTTGTTCTCGAGCTCGTCTTCGAGATCATCTACACTCTCCAGAACGTCCTCAAGGTCCTCACCATCAGCATCTTCGAGCTCCTCGGTCCCCTCGTCTTCCTCCTTCTCAGCGTCATCGTCCACCTCCTCACCACCCTCAACGTCATCGTCGACGGTCTCCTCCAGACTGTCTTCGGCCTCCTCGGGGGTGTCATCAACCTTCTCCTCGAGGTCCTCAGCGGCCTTCTGCCCACCGTCCTCGGCATTGTCGGCGGTGTCCTCGACAAGCTCAACCTCGGCGGCCTCATCTGCGGCCTCCTCAACTAAGCGTTTGTTTAGTGCGCGAACCTTTGCGGCGGTGTTTGGTAGTGGGAATGGTATCTCGCGGTTTTAGGAATGTCGGAGGATGATGAGTTGCCATTTGTGCTTCACATCAGAGGTCAGGATGCCCTCCGGCAGCAACCTAGCATTACGGCCTATCTGCCTTTCAGCGTTTTTTCAGGAGTAGCTTAGACGTCAATCAATGAACAAGTTACTTTTTACCTTTTGGTTTTTACTTTCTAGTGGCTAGTCCCCTACCAAATGAAACGATTATTTGACCATGAGCCCGTATCGAATTTGACCACATACGTGACTGTCTTGGTGTAGTTCATTATCTTGAAAATAGGTGAGATTCAATGACCAATTTATCAAAGTTCGCTAGTTTCTGAACTTAGTTCTTCATAACCTTTCTCGAGTAGTCATTCTCATCCCTGCGTCCAAGGCTCTCTTTCGGTAAGCTCTTCAGCACATTGCCATCAGAAACCCCATCAAATGCCAAAACCCGGTCTTTGATCTTCCATTCTCCCTCCCGTTTCTCAAAGGTGTCGATGTACCTCACGAGAAACGTGACCCATTTATCCTTGCCGTCGACAACATTGACCGTCGTCGCAATGCAGTACGTCTCTGCAGCCGCCGTGATTCCGTCGTCTCCGAGCTCAATCAGAGACTGCCCAATGTGGTGATGGGCTGCATCTGGGGAGGGTCCTGCATTCAGCGCATCGTACATGTCTTTTGCTGGTCCGTTGTAGAAACCATGATTGTCTGTCGCATCGGGATGGAATACCGATTGAACGAGGTCGCGGATGCCGCGGTCTGAGCCCCGGGCGAAACGGTAAATTACGGAACGAATTTCTTCCTTGTCAACAACTGCCTGGAGGGCTGAGGACAAAGTTTGTTGTGTTTTCGTTGCACTCATTGTGTCGGTTCAGAGGGTGCTGCAGAAACGATATTGTGGTTGGATGTGCCACAGTCTGACCTTGGTTTGCGGCGAAGCATTCAGTTTATATCTACAAGATGGCAATACAACATCTTTTCTCTTAAAATAAGACCTGCATTTGTGAAAAGTTTGACCTAATTTTGAAAGCTGACAAGTTTATCAGTAGAATGAAAACAGTAATTAACGGTATTGTTGGCGTCTTCCTCCGAGACGGCGGAAGAGCAATACGAATACGCAACCGAGTCGCTAGACTCGGGCATCGTCGGCCCCCGACGTCTAGTCTTAAGGAGGACACTGCCTCAGAAGTTTCAAGGAACATTGCCTAGCTAAGCTGCTTACTACCTCCTCAGTAAAGACATCCATTTCAGCGTGTCCGTAGGGAGGCAACGTCAACGAAAATTTATGGATGCATTTGCAAGAAAGCGTGCATCATGACCATAATACCCGATATGTAATTGTGAAAAAAAAAAAAAAAACAGACAGAAAGTCTTACCGCTAGCACAGCCAAGACTGACACCCAATAATGAATCAAGGTAAAGGAAGATACCTTCTCCTTGCTTTCTACCATTTTGTCCGGGGCCAAGGCGGCACGATTCTTCTATACACCAGTCTACTAAGCCTCGGTATATTCCCTAACAATCAAAGATTGTACCAAGCTTCCAACTGTTAATTGTGATACCTAAAACAGGAAAAGGACTGAAAGAGAGGATTTCCTAGCAGATCTACTCAGAACATGCACTCGGGGTGAAATCCTCAAGATTTTTATAGCCTCTCCCTATCTATCTTCCCTACAGCAGATGTACATCTAAGAACTCAAACTCAACCATGAAAACATCTGAACATCCTTTCAACATCGGTTTTGTTAAAATCGCTGATGTGCTTTCCTCTCGACGTAAAGTATCCCCTTCATTATACCTCTCAATAAAGATATCTCACCGCCTTTCCTAATCCTCTGAGGGGTTGAAGTTTGACGGTCTTGTTCAGTTGTCGTTCATACCTGCAGAAACGCTCAGAGAATTTCGATATTATGTAGTCCGCTGTCGCTGATCCCTAAGTGATCATCAGGATATACGCGAGGCTGCGTCGTATCTGAACACTCCTGCTCGAGGCGTACCCCAAAAAGACTGAGGACCGCTTGTGATATTCGTTGCCACAAGCCTGGTGAGTGACTGCAATCACCGATCGAGAAACTGATTAGCGCCTGTTTAAGCATGCGCCTTAAAATACCTTTCGAAAGCTCTGGGTTTTGAAAGCCACTGTAGCCGGAGGTCATGAACATTCCCACCCTCCCGTACTGACCCTGACCCGCAAGTCTTTGAAGTATCAGACCCCTAATCACGACATTCCAAGATCCTGTATCCTTTATGACTCCTTTGCCACAATCCCAAGCGATGGGGATTATGTATAGCTGGCGTGGGCGATATGATGTCTTCTCTGCCCAAAGCATCTCAGTCGTGTCCCACCTCACTTGTATGTATGACCGGGTCGTCATCATTTTAAAGGACATGAGCAGGTCTTCTGACCATTCGTTCCGCAAGCGAGACTCGAGAAGAAGGATCATTTTCAAAACCGCACCCCTCGTCTTTTCTCTTCTTGTTATGGGTTCGGCCGACCAGGGGTCTTGCGATTCCGGATACCATTTTCTTTCGCCAGGAAAGCGCATGTGTGGAGCACCGTTAATCCATTCGCGCTCGATGGGTATAGTGCTTGCTTGTAGACGCAGAGTCGCGCATTCAAGTTGCCCGAAGCGGTCGCCGTTCTTGGATAATATGATTGGTTGTATGTTCTGGAACAAAGCCCGAGCTTCATACATATCGCGATCTCCATAAACTATTTTGTTGTTGGATATCACGCTCGCCCATGACCAAGAAGGTGCGGCTTCTGGATCGCGGACAGCTCCACCTTTGGGGGGTTTGAAGAAATGCCATAGGAGACACTCTGGTAGTGCATCTTGCCAGAGGCCTGCAATGTAACTCTCAGGTGAGGGATCCAAGCGAGCCATGAACCATTTTGCAATCCCCGATATCGCCGGTAGCCGGTCGTTTGAATATGTTAAGCTCTTGGAAAAATAAAAGGACCTGACTATGAGGTGAAAAGACTCAAAGCGTCTGGCTAATTCAGAGGAGCCGTCCTCTTGAATTATGTAGCTTGACTGCAGTTTGAACTGATTAGTGACGTTGTTGAGCTGAGTAGCTGTGAAACAGCTGGTTTCACACGCGGAATTTCACTTGCCTTTCTTCGAATTGGGCTTCAAAGTTTCAACCACTGCCAAATACTTATAGTTTCCTGCATTGGTGTCGGTAAACCTCCCCAATTTCGTATCACCTAGCCAGTATGCCGTGAGCTCATATGTGGGGGCCGTACAGCTGTCGATGAAGTGTTGGTGGTGCGGACCTGCTGCTGCGCGAAAGAGCAATGTGCAAAGGTGGCAATGGTCTGAGATTGCATTTTCCGACCAATCCTCGAAATTCAAGTAGGTTTTGCCCTTTTGGGGGCCAACGCTTCCTCCGTGTAAGGGGCTGGCCCCTAGGCTTGTTCAGCGTAGAGGTGCCGTCGATTGACTATTCTAAGCTGAAGAAGGAAGAAAGGACTTTACAAGGGTAGGCACCTAACAGCGGTGAAGCAGGCCGGGTTAGGCGGCGTACTGCG